CACTGAATGACCATTTTTTTTCCCCTGAAGGATTATACTCAGTTTTGCTGGGTAGGTGATTCTTGGTTGTGATCCTAGCTCCTTTGCCCTCTGGAATATGTGGTCCCTTAATGTAGAAGCTGCTAAATCTTGTATTATCCTGATTGTGTTTCCACAATACTTGAATTGTTTCTTTCTGGCTGCTTGCAATATTGTCTCCTTGACCTGGAACTCTGGAATTTGGCTATAATATTCCTAGGAGTTTTCCTTTGGGGATCTCTTTCAGGAGGTGATCAGTGGATTCTTTCCATTTCTACTTTATTCTCTGGTTCTAAAATATCAGGGCAATTTTCCTTGATAATTTCTTGGAAGATGATGTCTAGACTCTTTTTTTGATCATGGCTTTCAGATAGTCTAATAATTTTTAAATTCTCTCTCCTGTATCTATTTTCTAAGTCAGATGTTTTACCAGTGAGATATTTCACATTGTTTTCTAATTTTTCATTCTTTTGGATTTGTTTTACAGTGTCTTGATTGCTCATAAAGTCACTAGCTTCCAATTGCTCCATTCTAATTTTTAAGGAATATTTCTTCAGTTAGCTTTTGGACTTCCTTTTCCATTTGGCCAGTTTCGCTTTTTAGGGCATTCTTCTCCTCATTGGCTCTTTGGATCTCTTTTGCTGTTTAGGTTAGGCTATTTTTTAAGGTGTTATTTCTTTCATTATTTTTTTGGGTCTCCTTTAGCAAGCTGTTGACTTGTTTTTATGATTTTCTTGCATCACTTTCAGTTTTTCCTCTACTTCTCTTACTTGCTTCTCAAAATCCTTTTTGAACTCTTCCATGGCCTGGGACCAATTCATATTTTTCTTTGAGGCTTTGGATGTAGGAGCTTTGATTTTGTTGTCTTCTTCTGGTTGTATGTTTTGATCTTCCTTGTCACCAAAGTAAGATTCTGTGGTCTGACTCTTTTTGCACTGCTTGCTCATGATCCCAGCCAATTACTTGAGTTATAAACTCTTTGTTAAAGTAGGGGTCTGCTTCCAGTGTGGAGAATGTACTGTCCCAAGCTTCTGGGGTTTTGTGTAGCTGTTTTCAGAGATACTTCTAGGGACCTGTAAATTTTCATTTCTTCCAAGGTGCTGTGATCAAGGGCAAGGTGTTTACTCCTTTCCTGGCCTGTACTCTGGTCCATGAGTGACCACAAGCACTGTTTTCTGCCTTGAAACTGTGAGGAGGATTTCCTCTCCACAGCCACTACAAGCTCCACAACACCAGCGCTCCTCCTCGCCCCAAGACTGCCACCCAGAACTGTGACCCAGATCCAAACACAGGCAAAGCAAGAGAATCCTGCACCAGCAGAGAGATCCCTGCAATCCCCTTCTGATCAGCCACTGGATTCCCCCTCAGTCTGTGGGCCTGAAGCTCTGGAAGCAGCCGCTGCTCCGGGGGCCAAGCTTTGGGACTGGAACTATGCTTCTCTTTCTTACCGCAGACATAGAATTTTCCCACTGACCTTCTAAATTGTCTCTGGCATTCGTGGGTTGAGACGTCTGGAAACTGCTACCTACAGTTGCCCCCTGTGGTCTGTTCCAGGTTTCAGTCCTCTGAAGCCTGTCTTGCCTGCGTGCCTGCGCCAAACTGCACTCCTCTCCCCACTTGGCGCAATAGACCTTTCCAATCAACCATCTAGGCTGTCTTGGGCTATAAATTTGTTTCACTCTGTCTTTTTGTGGGTTCTGCTGCTTTAGGATTTGTTTAGAGCCATTTTTCGTAGGTATTTGGCAGGGATTGGGGGAGAGCTTAAGCAAGTCACAGCTTTTACTCCACCATCTTGGCTCTATCCCCAGCATAAGTATTTTTTGCATAATAGCAAAAACATGATGTTTTATTCCTCCAGTAGATCTTAATTTTTCTTGTTTTCCTATAGTAACTATTTAGTCTTTTTTCTTACATCTAGTCAGTGTTTTCTTCGGAGGTAACTTGCTGTAAGCCCAGCATTAGGAAATTAAATTGTGCTTTATTGAGGTCATTTTTAGTTCTTCTATTTTTCCTTTCAGAGTTTTCTGGAGAAGTTCCATAACATTTCATTTTGTTTATCAGATGTGCCCCTTTGGGAATACAGCACTGCTAATCCCACTTTATTTATTTTTTTTTAATAATTTCCTTCAGTCAGAATAAAAGATTTCTGTTTTTAATATTATTTCTATGCCTCAAAAAAAAAAAAATCCGGACTCCACACAGTATAATGTATCTATTCAGAAAATGTGATTCATGTATATTGGGTTGTTGTTTTTTTTAAGATGGCAATTAATACTTGTAATTAAAACTAATCATGCATAACTATATTTAACAAATCTGGACATTTTCTCAAATTAAAAGCTTGTCTTACATACTCTGGTTCTTTTTCCAAGGGCAAGTCCCAAGAGAGACATTTCTCATTTTCATGGAAGCCCCTAGAGATAATACTCATTCAAACCACTCCTGGAAACTGTTGACAATTCAGATAATTTAATTCAGGTCATTACAGTTTTTTAGAAAGGACAAAATTAGGTTGTAATAATTGAAAGGGTGTGTGCTGACAAGTAGTTAGTACTGATAATTTGATCTCCAAGTACTTATTCATATATTTACTAAATTAGGACCTGACTCTTTATGAGCTCTTTCTTGTCAGTTACCATATAATAGTATTACATTACATTTTAGAAGGAAATATCCTGAATTCATGTAATGTTATAGACAAAAATCTTGGTAAATGTTTTAAAATAATATGTAAAATATTTCATACTCATGATATATATTCAAGACCTCAGATTTTTGCTTGTCACAAACTTAACTCACATTTATAAAAATAGGGAAGGTAATATATAATAGTGTAACTCTTTTTATGAGGCATCCCCTTAGAAATATTTTGTTTTGTTTTGTTTCTGTTGGTCATAAAGCTTGATCTGTTTGGACCTGTTTAGCTTTTGGGGGTGAGGGGGTGGGGAATGGCAGCTAGATGGCACAGGGAATAATAGGGTGCTGGGCCTAGAGTTAAGAAGAGCTGAGTTGTAAACCTGGCCTCAGACACTTATTGTGTGACCCTGGGCAAGTCACTTAACCCTGTGCCTCAGTTCCTCATCTGTAAAATGAACTGGAGAAGGAAATGGCAAACCACTCCAGCATCTTTGCCAAGAAAATCCCAAATAGGGTCACAAAGAATTGGACATGACAGAACAAAATTTAGCTTTTTGATTATTGCACTGGCTGTACCCACCAATTTCTGTCCTTAGGACTTCATGTGGCCTCCATGATCTGAATGGAATTGTGACCATATGGAGTTTAGGAGTAGCATGTATTCAGGAGATGGAAAATGCTAGTTGAACTTGTGCTCTACAGTCATGGAAAATTTTCATGTATCATCATGTTGTATTTGGAAATGTGTGGCATAGTGGATAGAGGGCCAGACTTATAATCAGAAAAATCTGGGTTTAAGTCCTGTCTCTAACATAGACTGGCTGGGTGTCCATGGGTAAATCACTTAAACTTTCGATGTCCTGGCAATTTAAGGCACTAAGCTGTTTTCTAAGACTATAAGTCATGGAGGAATTGCTGTTCCACATCAGTAGGAGCAATTTCCACAATGGGAATTCCTTCCACAGAAAAATTCAGATCCAGACACCCCCTCCTCACTGCAAATGTATTTGAGAAAGTCGTTATTAATGATTTTTATTCATTTTCATGAACTCCAGTCATGTAAAATTGAAAAACAAAACTATAGTTGCCTCCTCAAAAAGTACATGCTTTGAACACAAATTAATTATTAACACATTTTCTGAACACCTTCAATTCTTGTGACTCTGTGTGAGACATGATTTAGATTTCATTGTGAACGAGATATAAACAATGAAAAGCATGCAAGGACAGTAATGACTTATTGGCAGTATTTGCTGCCAGAATTCAGAGGGAGAAGAGTGCTGGTGAAACTGATGGGGAAATGTTCATTGGAAGGATTCTTTGAGGAAGGAGTTAAGTTGAACCTTCAGGGTACATGAGATCTGGATTGTCAGAGAATCGATGGCCTGTGGGTGCCGCCTATCCTTTTCCTAAGGAAAAATTTCATACGATTGAATATGAAAATGAAAATGATATCATGATTACCGTCTAGATTAACCTAGCAGCAGTATAAAAAACACATGGTTTTTAAAGATGGCGGCTCAGATCTTACCTTTTGCAAGAGGCCTTGCCCAGTTGTCGCAGTCCTCATCCCACCCCCTAGGTGCTAGTGCTTTCCCTCTGAGATTACCATCCCATTCATGGATTGGCACATAACCACTCCGAATCTTTTCTTAAGGTTTCCTAGCCTAATTGAAACACACCTAATAGAATTTAGTATGACAATGGAACCGACAATGTAAAGATTTAAAATCTACTAACATTTAGTAGAAAATGATCTGCTAGTGCTTGTTCTATCTCCATACTTGCTATAATATAGAGAGAGAAAGAAAGGAGGGGAGGGAAGGGGAGGAGAATAGTATATATGGTTATTTGCATGTTGTCTCCCCCATAGAGAGCTTCTCGAGGGCTGGAACTGTCTTTCTTTGTATCCCTAGTACTTAGCACAGTGTCAGGCACATAGTAAGGGAGTAATAAATGCTTGTTGAGTAACTGATGGAGAGGGTACTCCCTTAGATATGGAATAAGTCTCCACATAGATCTAGAAGAATAAGAATAAGAAGAAGCATTGCCTGTCAGTAACAATCAATAGCAAGGAACTGTTGTTCCCGTTGGTCAGATTTTTCTGCTTTAGAAGAAGCTGTTTAGACTGGTGGGAGAAAAAAAGGTTAAATCCTTGACGTGTTTATTCATGCTAACAGAAACTATTTTGAAATCAAGGGTGTTATGAATCAACTTACACTCTCGTTTGTATATATTTTGGGTAATGCCAGTGGCAGCTGTGTTACATTTGATTTGAGGTCTGGTTATTCACATTGTGCCAGTTTTGAAGGGTCTTCTTCTTATCTAATCATTTTTTCTTTCAGACTAATGGACGTATATCTGGAAATGGAGATGTATATCAAGAAAGGCTAGCACGTTTAGAAAATGATAAAGAATCTCTGGTTCTCCAGGTAGTCATTTTGTGTTAAATTTTTCTTTCAGTATATTCACGAAGATTTCATTTTAGTTTAGTGGCAAGGCAGTTTTCTAGTTTATATTTAACATATATGTATAGTTGTGTGTATGTAGCATAAATGTACACATATAGCACATTTATGTGTGTATGTTTGTACAGAGCATAAGTTGTTGGCAATGTTTCCTCTATATTTTAATGGTGACCCTTTGAACTTCTTCAGAATGAAAATACACACACACACACACACACACACACACACACCATGGTATTGTGAGCCAAGTGGATTTAAGTCCTATTTTTTGACGTATGAGATTAAGATTAAATTCATAGTACCTTCACTTGAACTTTTAAAATGGAAAACTGAATGCTCAAGGTGTCTAATTATGCTCTAAAAACATACATCTAAAAACATTAATGTCTTAATTTTGTAAGCCCTTTTGAGATCTGAATGGCATAAATCTATCTGACTTAATAGTTCCCTTTTAATTTAAGTCACAAAAGTTACTTTTCATTCCACTCTTGCCAAAGGATGATTTATATAAAGGCTCTATAAAATAATTATCAAGTCTCATCTAGAAATTGTTGCACGTAAGTGGTTAGTAACAGTTTCCTCTATATTTTAATGGTGACCCTTTAGACTTCTTCAGAATAAAGGGATTAACAAAAATAAGGGAATGTGTAAGTGTAGGTGACATGTACTGTTCATATCATAATGTTGAGTAAATTATATGTCTTTATTTTTTTTAAATTTAGAGAAATTAAGGAATAAATGTGTATTGTTCTGAATTGAATTGAGAAATAGACAGAAATGTACAATTCTTTTTCCCTTATGTCAATATTTTATACTTTTCAGGTAAGCGTATTAACAGATCAGGTGGAAGCTCAGGGAGAAAAGATTCGTGATTTGGAGTTTTGTCTTGAAGAGCACAGGGAGAAATTAAATGCTACAGAAGAAATGTTACAGCAGGTATGGAGAGAGAAGTAAACACTAGCAGATGATTTTCTGCCAGGTGTGGGGAAAGCATAAATCTATTGTACTGTTGGGTCTTTTGGTGCACTGAATTCTATTTGGTGTGCTTCAGTTTGCCTGGTAAATCTTAGGAAAATATTTGAGACAGTTGTGTGCCAGCCCATGAGGAAATGGAGAAAGAGGATCTTAAAATTGAATTCTGTTTATATTTTGGAAAATTCTAATTTGTGCATATACTTTTGTTTCCTAAATTTTCATATTTTTTTCCTATATGGGGATTACAAAAAAAAAAAGAATTAGTTATTTTTCTCTTAGACATTATCATCTGACAGATTTTTGTTGCTTTGAGGGAGAAGTTTGGGTCAGTCTTCAGCAGTAAATAAGGAGAGAAATCCTATACAGAAAGAACTCCAAGCCAGCTTTCTCCCACCACCATACCACTTCCATACCACTTATTTAGTCTTCAGTGGTAGAGTCTTACTTGCTGTGTTTTTTGAGGTTAGATAAGCCCTTATAGTAGAAAAAGATACTTGGATTTTAGAAATGTAATTAATCCTTACCCATAAAGTTGTCTTGATAAAGGTGCCCAACTTTACACTACAGTAGAAAAATGTTTTATTTTGAGGCAATCTTGTGTGCACAGCACAGAACTAAATGTAATTGTTTTAAGTATTAAAATGTCTTATTATTTCATCAGGAACTTCTGAGTAGAACATCTCTAGAAACTCAGAAATTGGACCTCATGGCTGAAGTATCTAACTTAAAGCTAAAATTGACTTCTGTAGAGAAGGACAGATTAGACTATGAAGATAGGTTCAGAGACACAGAGGTGAGTATACCAATACAATTTATTACAAGTCAGTATTTCAACTCATTTTTAAATATCTATTTGGTCTTCAACTCTATTTTTTTTTTAAATAAAGCATTTACTATTAATGTTTCATGGCAGTTTTCGTTAGGACATTAATTTTTTAGTCATTATTAGTTAGACACATCTGGAGTTTAGAGCACCTATGGAATTTTTAGATAATCTTTCATATAACAATGAACTAATTTACCTTATTTTCTAAATAATAAGTATGAATTTTATTGTTTTACTAGTAGATAGTTTTCAGATAAGAGGCAGAATGGATTAGCAGACAGAGGACCATCAAGTTTAAGTCTCACCTCTGGCACATACTAGCTTTGTGACTCTGGGCAACTCACTTAACCTCTCAGTGCCCCAGGCAATTCTATAAGATTATAGATCATAATGGGTTAGGTGTTTGTTTGTTTTTTTTTTTTTAATTTTTGTTTTGTTTTGTTTTGTTTGTTTGGTGGGGGGGGGGGAATTGATTGATTGGTTGGTTAAGTTCCCTACTTCAAATAAATCACAGGTCCAAACTTCTTCCGTTCCTCCCTCTCCTCTCCCTCCTCCCAAATAAAAGCTCTTTTGATGCATTATTTATTTTAGTTCTAGTGGGAGTTTTTATATATGTATGCCTTGTGTTAGTTGCTTAGTCATAGACTAACTGTGCTCTTAAGAGGTAACTTAATCTGGCCTCTTACTTTTGGATAGAACCACACCTAAACAACTTTAGATAAGATTTTATTCTGAAATGATAAAAATTGGGTTGATTCCACAAGCTCCTTTAGTAGGTAATAGTCACCACCAGGATATTTTTCCCTGTCATTTACTTGAGGTGTGAGATAGACAGGTGTTCCATGTCTTTTTTTGACTGGCTTCATTGTCAATCTATGGTTTGGAGGCAAAATAAAACCATTCTGGAAGGACTGCCACAAAGAGGATCGTTTAATTCTCTTGTCTCTCTGACCTTGTTTCTTTTCTCCACTTTTCTAATTACCCTCTTTGGCTTATTTGTGGACATGACACCTTGAGGGAAGAAGGAAATTAGAACAAACTGATTCATACCATGTTAGGGAGTGAGGCATAGGAAAATAATTCAGTTTTTATCTTCTCCTCCACCTCCACTTCAATTCTGATCTAAACTAAATCCCTTCCACTGTAATTTCCCCATCCTACTTGGAGATGGTCATCAACTGCTCAGCGTCCTTTCTATAAAACTGCCTTCATCAGTCAGAAAGCTATAAGATCTTTCCACAGCTTTTTTCAAGGCTAATTCCATGTCATTTAACTTTCCCCTGGAGATTTTACCTTAGCTACTCTCTTCTAATTCCTCCTGATGTCTTTACCTCAGTCTTTAAATGTAAATTCCATTCCTTCTTTTGCTGTGGAAATATACCCCAGCAGATGAGGACCTAGTCTTTTCCTTTTTTCATCTTTGAATCCCTAAGTGCCTAGTACAGTGCCCTACTCGCTGTAGGTGTTTAATAAAGGCTTGTTGAGTTAAATTGACTTATCAGATTGGTTCAGATTTTATTTCACTAGATCTCCCATTATCTTTTTTTTTCAGCCACATATATTGTGTTCACTCGATTTTCTAAAACAGAACTAGAAAAAAAGTCAAACCTCTTTCCAAATTCTTGCCTTTTCCTGGTCTTTCAAAATTATTTCCTATTTTCTTCTTCCTTTCATTTCCTTTAACTCCACAGTCACTACATTACTTAATAACAGAACTGAGCCAACAGATGGAGAAGGTGGAGGTGGAACTAGCTCTCTTCCAGAAAAAGAGGTTACAGTATGGGGCCAAGAGGAGACCCTTTACCTTATGTACCACAACACTGGGCCAAGCTTAATCTCTGTGCATGACTACCACTAGATATCCTGAGGTGCACAATGTGACTCTAACCAAACAGTCAAACTAACCTGCATTGAAAATGCTTTCATGAATCCATTAAAATGCTATTGCAACATTTATACTCCTTATTTGTTTGTACTTTTGGTTGAAATCCCTTAACAGTTCTCTTCTCCACTCACTCAACCTGTCCCTAGTCATACATGTTCTTATCCATAAGAGTTCAGATAAACCTAAACCCTTTCAAAATGCCTCATCGAGGAATCATCACACAGTTCTTACTTTAAACATTTATAACATACTTATGCAAACAGTGGGGAGGTTATGATAGAGTAGAATAGAACATAGAATATAGCATAATATATCTTCATAACACATTTCTATAGTGTCTTAAAGATCCATTTATATGTGAGCTCATTTGAGATGAAAAAAAATTTTCCAAATCGAAAGGCAAATATAAAAATAACCCAAAATACTTATTTTCCTATTTGCCTCCCCCCTCCCCACATTAGAAGCAAAATTAGTTCTTGGAAATTTTGACTCTCAGATTAGCTTGCTCCTTGTGATGAACAGCTTGGGCTGAGGTGAGATGGAAAAAGCACTGGTTCTGAATTTCAAGGATCTGGGTCTGAATTCTCATTCTGCCATGTTAACCATAGCAGATAGAAGACCTTTGTGATCCAATAATCTATGAGCTTCTTTTGATTTTATTATGCAGTTAATTTCTCAGAAGATATTACTTCTGAGCAAGGAAGAAATAGGAGCCTAAGTATTTCAAAAAGCCTTTAGAGGGGCTGCTAGGTGGCGCAGTGCATAGAGCACTGGCCCTGGAGTCAGGAGAACCTGAGTTCAAATGTGGCCCCAGACCAAATACTTGACACTTACTAGCTGTGTGATCTTGGGCAAGTCACTTAACCCTAACTGCCTAAGCAAAAAAAAAAAAGCCTTTAGAAAATTTAGGTTCAATCAGAGTATTTTTTACGATGTTTTTCCTAGGGTTCATAGCTGATAGATGTTTCTTTTCATTGGTCAATAGCTCCACCTGTTGGACAATACCATGAACATCAGAAGTTTAGATCCTCTTGAGATCCTAAGAGTGGAAAGGCGACTGTAACTTTTATTCATTCATTCATTCATTCATTCATTCATTTATAGAGAGGCAATAAGTGAGCTTCTTTCAAGAAATCAATCTTGAAGCAAACATTTATTAACCATTTACCTTGAGTCAGTCTCTGTGCTGGGGGTTTTTGGTGGGGGGGGTGTGCTTACCAAAGACAGAAATGAAACAGCACCTACCCTCAAGGAGCAAACATTCCTTTTGAAAGTGGATTTCCCTTTCCATGGAAACAACTTGCTCTTTAAAGGTGCTCTTTTCAGAATTGACCTAAATATATTAGAACACATATATTGAGATTTACAGGTGTAATCCTTCTTGTTTAAGGATGTATTATATAATATTACAAGTCAACTTTCTTGAATTATTTGATCTCTGGTAATTTTGTCAGAGCCTTTCTATTTTTATGGGAGATGGCGAATGGAATGCAACATAGAAATATAAATTTGGTGGGTTAATATATATATATGGAGAGAGTTTTGATGTATATCAGGGTTTTTAGAGTAAGAATGTTATTTTTAACTCATTAAGCACTCATACTGTGCATAACACAATATGACACAATATAAGAGAAACAGTATGATCATAGAATTGTATTCAAAATTATGCATTTTAGGTTATAGGTTCACTATTTATTATGTATTATTGTGTGTGTTTCTAGTGCCCAGGCAACTGAGACTCTTAAATTGCAAAAAAAAAAAAAGGTGCCGATCTGCATTGGCAGAGATACTCCCTTAACAGGACCTTCCCTTACTAATGAAATTACAAGTCTAATAAAATAGATAGATTGATTGATAGGTAGATAGTACTTTGAGCAATAGCACTCCCCCCCCCCCAAAAAAATGTCTCTTAAAATGAATAGCATCGGCAGTGACACAAACACTTAACAAGGATATGAACTGACAGGCACAGTTCTCTAGGTTATCCATTCCTAGGCACAGAGATGCACCTAGACTTACAGAAACTATAGCCTAATTTGGGAACCAGAATCCCATCAGATGGGGAGAGATTTTACCTCCTTCTTAGTATTGACTGAGGTGGGATTCTTCACATTACCAAAAGCAGGTCTTAGAGCATTTGCCAATCAGGTACAGAAGAATACCTTATAATTCTACCTATATTCTTGTTCTGGGTCTCCATGACAAAGGGATATACCTTGAATCAGTCACACTAGTCAAGCCTTTGGGCTCAAAGCCTGGGCAGATTGTGTGGCACCCATTGGTCTCAGTTCTAGTGTGCCTTACTAGTACTAAGAGCATATTATGAACCCAGTGGATAATTACCTGGACCTCAGGTTCCAGGTACTAACAGGTGAAATGTCCAGGGAAAGAAACATGTAAAGCGCTCTTAAAACAACCCCAGCAAAAACTCCAGCTACCCACTGAAGTCAGAATAGTAGTAGTGTCACTAAGGTTATGAAGTGGTTGGGATTATCAGAGATCAATAAAATGTAGCATTAAGCAGCTAGGAACAGACAACCAATTACCTAAAGGAGGAGTGTGGGAGGCAGGGGAGTCTTCCATTCCAAAAAATCTGCAAAAATATGAGTGAAAATAGAAGCTAGGGGTTTATAATGCCCTTGCTTATAACTTGTGCCTCAGCACGAGATAATATCTTCCTTCCCATTTCTGCCACACATTCCATGTTTTCTGTTCCTTGGCCTACCACCTCTCCTTCATATAGACATATACTCCTAAGTAGATGGAACCAAATTTTCTGGCCTGTATTGTAGTAATTTCCAAGTTTCTCTGGGGGTCCCACTGCCTACCTTTTAACTTTTACCTCTGAGCTGTGTAGAAAGGTTACTCAAGCAAAAACCCTCCCCCATTTATCACTTCTCCTTTACCCAAGTATGCCGGGTCACTGTCTCTCCCTTCACTTCAAAGCCCTCGTAAGTTTTCAGGGAAGTGATTTGCCCAAACCGTACAAGGGGAAAAGGTAAACATGATGCTAGGGGGAACGTTTTCCATTTTTCTAAAGGCAAGGTTTCTCTTTGTGATGATTTCCAGCTCCTAAGGAAAATAAGATAGGGATGAAAATTTTTTTTTCCTAAAATTGTGCTGGGGTTGTAGTGATTGGTAATGTATTCTTAGCTGGTTGGTCTCCCTGCCTTATTTCTCCCTACTCTAGTCCATTCTCCACTCAGCTGCCAAAAGGATCTTCCACAGGCTCTGGTCTGACCATGTTACTCTCCCCCTTATTCAGTAAACTCCAATGGCTCTCTTACCTCCAGGATCAAATTAAAAATCCTCTTGTTTTAGCTTTTAAAGCCCTTCACAAATGTAAAGCCTTTTACCTTTCAAGTCTTCTTGCCCTTTACCTTCTTTCATGTACTCTACAATCTAGGAACACTGAGCTTCTTGCTTGTTCTCGTAGCATGCTTCCTTTCTCATCTCCAAGACTTTTTACTGACTGTCCCCCATGCCTAGAATGTTCTCCCTTCACATCTGGCTCATGGTTTTGTTCAAATCTCAGCTAAAATCTCACCATTTTCAAGAAGCCTTCCCCAATTGCCCTCAAAGCCTAATGCCTTCCTTCTGAGATTACAAATTATTTCCCTCAAATATATCATGGTTGTTTGAATGTTTTCTTCCCCATTAGAATATGAGCTCCTCGAGGGCAGGAACTGTTTTTACCTTTCTTTATATTCTCATTGCTTAGTATAGTGCCTGGCACATAGTAAGTGCTTAATAAATACTGATTGATTTGATCTGAGGACTCACCATCCACCTCTTCATCCTTATTGATTTGTGTTAAGGACTGAGCAGGAGAAGCACTTAGTAGATTGATGGTGAATGAGAGCAAATACTGCCTTCATAAGAAGTCAGTCTGTTTGTTAAAGGTCAGAACCAACAGACAAGTAGGTCTTAGAAGTCCATTCTAGTGTTCAGCCTACCAGCTTGCTGCCTGAAGGCCAAATGAAAATAAATGCAAGGCGATGTTATGGGAACCCAGTCTTATATAAGTGAAATTCATCCAGTGGTCAGAAGAAACAGAAGTAAGATGGCTGTAAGGGAGGCAGTAGTTACAGCTATAGCATGCCAAGCAGTCACAACAATGCCATTCCCTGAGAAAATATCAGTGGTATTTGTCAGAGTATGAAGTATAAACTGTAACTATTCTTGAGCTATGTGAATTCTGTGGGGAATGTGACTGGTGGCAGCCACAACAGTCAAAAGCAGTGGCTATCTATCACTTTATCAGGGGAAAAGGGATAAAGTAATCATGTGCTCAGCAATATTTGGCGTCTCTGCCTCTATGACCAGAGTGAAATTGCTACCAATGAGACTGAAATGGCATGGGTGAGTTTGTTCACAGCATTATTTCATTCTGCCAAAAGACTGTCTGGGCACTGGGGAGCACTAACATGGCCTACTAAAATGAGCAAAGTTCTACCACTGGTCCAGTTCTCAACCACCAAGGAAGGCCCATGGCAACAGTCCAGGAGTCTCCATGAATGATGATTCGCTCTATTTCCATATGTAAGGCAATGTCACAGGCCATCTGAGCAGCCCAAAGTTCAACCCCCTGTGTGAATTGCCCAGGCATCTAGTCACTTAGTGACTCACTAGAAATTGTGTTGAGCCTGCTAGAGGATCAGTGTAGAATCATAACAGGCAGAGCCAGGTGTCATGGTGGTTCTCTGAAACGTTCAAATCCTGGTGTTTGTCTTTATAGGTAATATGGGTCCTCTAAAACTTAACAAGGTAACAAAGCATTCACCTGCCTTATTGATTGGAAAACCCATTGACAGGCTTTTATCTCACATCATGTTGGGTATAGACTGAATGTGTCTAATCCATGGATCACCCCCGAATAGTACTGATCTTGAAGGCTCCTCTGTCTTTCTGAGGGTAAAGTCTTCCATCCATAAGAGCAGAAATAGGAGACAACTGCCTATATAGCAGTGGGTAGTCTCAGAGGAATCTCCAGCTGCTACAATGCCAACTATCAGTAGAATGATGAAAGAAAACTGCAAAGGGTAGGGACATTGGGGGGGGGGTGCCTCTCCAGAGGCATGCTATAAAAGTATATTGAAGGCAGTTTGGTGGCACAGTTGATAGCACTGGGCTTGGAGTCAGGAAGACTCATCTTCATGAGTTCAAATCCAGCTTCAGATGCTTACTAGCTGTGTGACCCTGAGCAAGTCACTAATCCTATTTGCTTCAGTTCCTCATCTGTAAAATGAGCTGGAAAAGAAAATGGCAAACCACTCCAGTATTTTTGCCAAGAAGAGTTAGATTTGACTGAAACAACTGAAAAACAAATAGAAGTATGTTAAGTGCCTTTCCGTATGAAAATGCATTGTTCTTGACAACCCCAGGTTAGAAAAAACAGTCATTCACTAACTCAGTAACACTGTATTGATAAACTAAGGAATAGCTACTATCCTTAACCACTACTACCATATCAAGGAAGTGGGGAAGTGATAGGGGTGACCAGTACCACCTTCAATTTCTTAGGCACCAACTCTCATTGGCCTTCCACATTGCATTATTGGAGGGAGAGGAGATGTGTCTTTCATATCTGCCATGAAGGTAGAAATTTCACATGGCACTGCTGTTTGTTAATGGTATGGAGTGGGAGCGTGGATCATCCTCCTATATCATCTTAATTTAACCCCATAGGGTGGCTCCCCCCAAACCTCTTACCTCTTTAAGGATTCCATGGCTAATCTGAGTACAGTCCACAGGGATGATGGTCATCTGACTTACCATATCCAGCAGACCCATAAATGTCTGATCTTCACCCTCTACCCAATAAACTGTCACCTGGGCCTATGGTCTCTAATCCACTTTCAGTCCAAAGGTAAAAACAGAGAGTAGATTTGGGGAATGTGCCTTTACCCCTGACGACGTGATTTCTGAAGGCCTACATTATTTTCCTTCCTCTCTTACTGATAATTACTAACTAAGGTGCAAAAATGACCATTGATGTCCCTCTTAGTAAAGTTCTGTTTTAATTACCAGGTCCATAATGACCACCTAAACAAGGCTTCTTCTGTCCCCATCTTGTCAGGCTAGGCCACCTCTTGGGTCTTTTTGTTATTAATCATGAAAGACTAGAAGGAAATATTCATTTGTTATCCAGGAGTACTTGACAAAGAAAGGGATAATTACCCTGCACTCATCTTTTATATTATATCAATTTTAATTTTATTAATAATTTGTGATAAGGGTTGGTAAGACTTTTTTTAATTGAGGAAAAACAGGCTAATTAAGAGGGAAGATTTTCCTTTCATCATATGACTAGTATCATATTGAGTACTGTAGAACAATTAAGAAACAGCACTGAAAATAACTTAGCCTTATAATAGCAACTAGTACTCTAGAAATATACGCTGCCCCAAATCAAATATTATTCAAAAGATGGAAAAACTAGGGGTTTTGTTGTTGTTTGTGGGTTTTTTTTTTTGGTTTGTTTAATTTATTGATCTATTTTGTGAAATTTAAGAAATCTGTAGCTATTAAAAATCAACAGTAGATACAACATGGTCTGATTATCTGAGATCTCTCCCAGGAGTATGTGGGCACAAGGGTGAAATCAAGTCATTAAAATAGTTGTAAGCTTCGCAAATAATAGATTCATTTAATTTTAATATATTTGAAATATTTATAGCCACTTTATATTCTGCTTTGTGTTTCTTTTTTGTTTTATTTTGTTTTCCTGGGATTTTTTCCCCTTAATTTTCTAGCTATACTTCAAAATTAATTAATGATTTTTCCTTCCCTCCCTTCCTTCATTACTTCACCTTTCTTTCTCTTATTTGCTCCCTTCCTCCCTTTTTTATCATAAACTTAATAACTGTCAGTAAAAGAAAAAGAGGTACAATGGAAAGAGGTCTAAATTTGGAAACAGAGGACCTGGGTTCAAATCCCAATTCTGGTGATAGAATGGAGGGCAGATTGAGGGAAGGATTATTCAGAATGAACACCATCTTGGGGTGGGGGGAAGGGCGAGATAGGGAGAAAATTTGGAACTCAAAATTTTGTGAAGTTGAATGTTGAAAACTAAAAATAAATAAACAAATCCCAATTCTGTCATATACTAGCAATGGACAAATTATTTAACATCTCTGGGCTTCAGTTTCTGTTTATGTCAAATGAAGTGATTGGTTGGAGTAGTTGACCTTCAAGGGCCCTTCCAACTCTAAGTCTGTATTTCTAAGTTTGTGCCTGGTGATAAGCATATATAACAAGGGTCAAAATTTTAATACAAATCCTTAGCTTTTAACAAGGCAAAACCAAATGAATTAACAAATACGTTTGCTCTTTGTCCTCTTCCTGCCTTGCTTAAATTAAGTTCTGCCACTTTTGGCCTTGCTTTTTATTCCTTCCTTGATTAGTGACTTTTCCTTTATTTCTTTTCCATATTTTGTGTATGTGTGTATGTGACAGGGCCTAATGCAGGAAATCAATGATTTGAGATTAAGAGTTGGTGAAATGGACAATGAGAGACTTCAATATGAGAAAAAGCTTAAATCTACCAAAGTAAGTGACATTTACTAGGTGTACACAGTCCTTAAGTGTGTTAATCCAGATCTCACCTTTTCCTAATAATATGAAAATATGGATAATGAAGAATAATGTATATAAAAAAAAAAGAGTTCCCTCAAATGGGAACCTCCTAAAGTTTCCCCTGTGTCTCTGAAGGAAAACCAGAATCTGATTTATTATAGAAATCTTAATTTGTCATTTCTCTGATTATCTAACCTCCTTGTAAACTGATTCTCTTCTCTAAGCTATTTAGCTTTGTTTTTTTCTATCTTTAGTTTTCTTTCACTGCTCTATCTCTGTTACCAGTCTTTAATGGCCAAACTTTCTAGCATGAAAATCAAGGTGGGGCAGATGCAGTATGAAAAGCAGCGGCTGGAACAAAAATGCCAGACATTAAAGGTGGAGTAGACGATGGATGGTTGGACCTTTGTGTTTCCTGTTAAACTGTGTTTATGTCTCCATGTGACTGGCATGCTTTCTTAACGTGCATTAATTTTTCTTTGTGCCATGTAGCCTGATTATTTTTAAAGTCATAAACTACTTATTAAAATATTCTGAAGCATGAGCATATCCTACCTTTTTCAGAAAGTTTTTGGAACAAAAATTAAGGCAACAACACACAAGTGAATAGAGTTGGGGGAGTGAATAGAGTTGGGGGAGAGAAGAAGGAAGGAAAGAGCAAAATGAATTTGAAAGTTAAATATAACTTACAGTTATATTAGACCTAACTTTCTACTTGTTAGATTGTTAAGCCACAAAATTTTACCTTCCAAAGAAGTTCATTTCATCTTTACAGTAAACTATATTTGTTTCTACCATCTGTGCAACTTGTTGAAAAAAGAAAAGAAGGGAAATGCAGTGAGGGAGACAGAAGGTTAGATGCTCTTGGTCTGACATAATTATTTCATATCACAGGGAGAATGGCATTCCTTTCCTTTCCACTCTCTTTTAAACACTCTGTTTCTCTGCTCCTTCTATTACATTTAATAAAAATTTTTAAAAAAAATTTTTAATGGGGCCTTCTTTGAGGGGCTCTGAAATATCTTTTTTGTCTTGATTATATGAAGAGTGTCCGGCACTATCCTATCAAGAGTCTTTTTTTTTAAAGTGATGAAGATAAATGTTATGTTTCTTAGTGTTCACAAGCTTCCCTTTCTGAGTTTAAATTGTCCCTCCCCCCCAAAAAACCCACCAATAGAATCCAGTTTAAGAGCTTTCCTCTAAAATTCTGTATGAGGAAAACAATCAAGCAATTTATGTTAAGCTTGAGAACTGACCACTTGTCAAGTGCTAGCTATTATTTTAACCTCTTTTTCTTTTTAAAAAAATACTTTATTGATATTTTTTACATTGCCTAAATTTCTTCCAGTATCCCTGTACCTTCTGTCTTCCTAAGAGTCTTCCTGTATAACAAAGAATATTTTTAGAGAGAAAATAAAAGAAAGGAGAAGGGGAAGCAGAAGGGTGAAATCAGCAAAACTGATTAGTACGTCAAAAAAGTTTGAAGATATATACAATGTTCCTTGCACACATTATTATTATTATTATTATCATCATTTTCTCCATTGTTACATTGGCTTTTATTCTTTTGCTTTGGTTATAAGTGTTAACTGGTTTCATGTTCTGATGAAGTTGGCCTGATGTGTGAAAGAACTCTACTTCTGGATAACAAGTATGGATGTTATCTTATTCTGATGAGATGGCATGTACATTAGCATCTGTCCATTATATTTTGCCTTCCTGACTTAAAACATCCAATCTAATTATCTTTTGTTCCCCCCCCCCCCCAATTTTTTTTTTATTTTAACCAAAAATAAACAAGCCTTTATCCAGTATAAGATTCAAACTTTGGAGAGGCCTGACCTATCACTTTCATTTTATCTCTCTCTCCCATTGATAGCCTACTCCCTAACATCATTTGATAGAATTATAGCTATGTTATCTTTAATTGGTCATGCTTTAATTGGCCTGTCTTTCATGCATTTGGCTGGTTTCTGAGTTTGACTCTAAATTCTTGGAAAGTTTTCATTTGAACATATTAAAATAGGTGTGATACATTTCTAAACTATCTCTAAGACAAATGTATTTTTAACCATGTTATTCTGTCTTTTATTCAGGATGAGCTTACATCTTTAAAAGAACAGCTGGAAGAAAAGGAATCCGAAGTGAAAAGATTACAAGAAAAACTGGTTTGCAAAATGAAAGGAGAAGGAATTGAAGTAATTGATAGAGGTAAGAATGAATACTTTTAGAACAGAGGCTAGAAAAGACTTCCAGAGGTCATATAGTTCTGTCCTATAGTGAAATCCTCCAAGGTATATAGAGGCAGAGATGTGCAAGGAAATGTTTAACAACTGGCTCTTCATTAAAAAAATTACCCACAACACACTTAAGTTTAATCTGCATTATTAACATTTTCTCCATCAATTTCTTAAGATTAGAAAATTGCATATATATATATGTATATGTGTGTGTATACGTGTGTGTGTGTGTGTATATATATATTTATATACACACACACATACATATATACGTGTGTGTGTTCAAGCCCTGATTTTTAGCATTTGCCAGTTTCTGAGGTTTAAATGCTAACACTGCAAATTTAACAATTGGCTCTCAGTAGGTAGTATGAGCTGACTCCAGAATACCCCCGTCTTAACTATAAAGATCTAGGGAAAAAAGAGTCAGTTGCTTCTCTTAGTAGTTCACTTCAGTTTGACAAATTGTGTATTTTCTTCACAGAATTATTGAACTAGTAAATTCCTATAATTGGTACATATATAATACAAAAAAGTACTGAAGGGCAGGAAGCCATTATCATGCCCCAGAATTATTCCTGAGGTTACAGAACCTCCTCTCTGCACTGCATGCAGAATGAGACTAGCGAAGGGGTACAGAATCCTCTTCTGTCCTTGAGGAAGAAGGAAGAGATGTTCTTCCTTGGCAACCCTGTGAGGTATTCCTACCTGATTGAGGACAGCCAGGTATGGTCGAACCAGCCTGACTTAGAAAAGGAGATTATTACACAAAATATCACAAAATAGATCACAAAATAGAAAAGGCTCAAAATACGGTTTCCTATTGTAACTTAAGCTAACTTCCAATCCACTGGGTTTTCCTGCACAGATGAAAACTGTAAAAAGAAGCTCAAAGAAAAAAGTAAGGTTTTTGGAATCTTTACATCAACATTTATTGTTTCAGAAGTATGATCCATGTAACTTTGCATGTGTATTAAAATGTTGCTTTTACCAAACCTGTCAAATTGCTTCATCAATAAGCTTTCTGTGTCTTCATAGTATTAAACAAACAAAAAAAAACAAAAATAAAGAATTGTTGTGTACATTCAAGATCATCTTTTTGTTCTAGCTCCGAGAGTATACGATTCCCGGTGAACCACCACCACAATAGTTAACCCATTTATAACAACGCTTTAAGGTTTACATAATAAATTATTAGTCCTATTTTATAGAGGAGGAAATTGAGGTCCAAAGGGGTTGTTGGTTCTCAAACTCTGTCTCCTAACTCAAATCCCAGAACTCTTTCTGGTACTGGGACTACCCTTTAGATAGCAAATTATACTTGCCTTAAGAACTTAATGTCTGAAAAAGAAAGCTTTGTAAGCTCTTACCTCATGTTCCCTTAACTTTATCAGTCTGCAAGAGCAACCTACTCCCTTCAGTCATATTAGAGTTGTATGTATAAGGAAGAATGCTTAGAATGAAGACAGAATAATAGGAATAGGTCTAGGGACTGGCTGAAGGCTGGACCTGGAATATCATAGGTATAGGGAACTCCCAGGTGAAAAACCTCCACTAATTCAGGTTAATGCCCAGTCTTGCAAGACTGACTAGAGCACTCAAAGGTTATGTGAGTTACCTAAGGTCACATAGCCATTATGAGTCACAGGCAGGACTTGGACCTAGGTGTCCCTGGCTTCATGGCCAGCTCTCCATTCATTACATCACATTGCCTCAAGCAGAATGATATACTGGAAAAAGTACTAAGATTAGAATCAGGAGAACAGGATGCAGAGCCCAGCTCTGATCCTGCCTGACTGCAGCGAAATCCTTCTCTGTGATTAAGTTTCCTCACCTATAAATGGGGCTAATAATACTCGCCCTTTCTGTCTCATAGGAGAGGCACCATGGTACAGTGGTTAAAAGGATGATCATAGAGTTATGAAAACTTGGATTCAGGTTTTGTCTCTGACACGTACGAGTGGACAAGTCATTTAACCTCTCAATGCCTCAGGTAACTGAGTTACAGACCAGTTGCCAGTTGGTATTGGTGGAGGGATTTTCTATGCTAGTACCAATGAAATCAGAGGTTAAGACCTCACTCACACACCCCCAAAATCTTTATCATTGGATTGTTATAGAAAAAAAGCACTTTGTAAACCTTAAAATGCTACATAAATATGGATTATTTTTATGGTAAATGGGTAGAAATATGGAGTGCTATAAGCATCTGTCTCATTTACTTTGATCCTTGTTCTTCAAAAACTGTTTGAATAGTCTGGAAGTTTATAGATGAAGCAAAATATTTATTATCTCTTTCTATGGAACATTAATAATAGCTCACCTTTTCAAGAAGTCACCATTCAGCATGTGTGTTTATCTTAATACTCACCTCTATCGCTGCACCAAGCTATTGTCATTCGTATATTTGTAATGGTTATGACTAAACATCATTAGCTCTTACCTCATTCTGGACACAATCCATCACCTTCATCCATTACCTGTTGTAGATGGCTTTGCTTTCTGGGGGGACAAAAAAAAACCAACAAGTTTTTTTATCGTTGTTTTAACTTTGTTGTTATATTTGAAGTTTGTTTTCATTCTTCTGGGTAGATTTTTGTAGCTCTCATGTTTTGGGAGAGGCAGCAGTGACGGGGAAGGGGTGTCAAAGTTGAATGTGTTCATTTTTGACTTTTCAGATTTTAGCATAATGTGTGTATTTTTAGGCTCAGTTTTTGTAAGTAGACGGAATCATTTAATAGGTTTATATTAAAACATTTTAATCTGAAAACTGAAGAAGTTATATGTGTCCTGTTTGCCAGCAGTCCACCCATGTTATAGTAGTGGGACCTAGACTGACTCTTGGGGTATTGTATATTTCCAGATATTGAAGTACAGAAAATGAAAAAATCTATGGAGTCCCTGATGGCAGCAAATGAGGAAAAGGTAGATATGGACAAAATTAAATACTTATTTGATGTCATTGCAAATGCCTCCCTTTTCAGTCACAGTATCCTTTTGTGCAAATGAATGGCAGGACATACCTGAAGCCTAGTCAGAACTAGTGACTAAGATTCCTTCCCTCTCCATCAGTTTCTAGTTTCAGCTGTGGCTATCTGAGGAAGAGGAGGAAAAGAAAGTGCCAGCTACACTAACTTTTATGAGTCAAACTTGGCTGTTTTTGCAATCTGATACGCTAATTTTTTTGAGTGCAAAAAGATTTCAGTCACAAAAATCTGCCTGTTATGTGAGAGGCTGAGCAAAAATAACATTTTAAAATACAATATGAGCAGTATGCTACATTAGCATTTTCCTAATGAGTTTTGAGTTGGGCATATCATGTCTTAGGCCTTGCTATATTTATGTTATCTGTTCCCAGTCTATTTGTTTTCTGATTCTTTCCTGTTCTTTCATTTTCCTCTTTAATTTTTCTCTTACTCCTTCATATTTACAATTTTTATTCCAATGAAACAATTTTTCTTCCTCCTACTCTTCTGTTCCCTAAGTTATTTTTGCCCATTGACTGAACACACACACACATACATGCATACATACATATATATATATATATATACACACACATATACATACACATACATACACACACCTTCTTTTGTGAAGATTTAATAAGCCTTTATTGAAAAGTATGAATAACTGTCCAAGTTCACTAAGTAAGGCTTTGGTACCATAAATACCCTTCCTCATAGTAACAAAATTGCCAAAATTATTTTCTCATAGGACCGAAAAATTGAAGATCTTAGACAATGCTTGAGCAGATACAAGAAAGTACAGGATGTGGTGATACTGTCTCAAGGAAAAAAAGGTAGAGTATTTTCTAATGTACTTAGTATCTTATCTATGTATTTTGCCTCAGTTTTTTTGCTTGCCTATGTATCTAGTCCCTATTTGAATACTTAGTTAAATACTTCCTGTAACAGGGAGCACACTGCCAATCAAGATAGCTCATTATATGGTTGGACAACTTAGAAAGCTTGTCTTCAAATTGATCCAAAATATGTCTGCATATCACTTTTATTTATTATTTAATATGTGGGGAGGGAACACTGAAATGCTTTGTTAAAAGTCATTTGACAACACTTTGCAGCTTTATGAGTTCCTTTTCTGCCTTTAGGGCTAAGTGTCCTACTCATAATGGATGTTTATTTGGCTTCAAAGGTTGTAAACTATTCATTTATCTCGTAATTACAGACTCAGAATTAGAGAGCTGTAAGATATCTAGTTCACCCCGCCCCCATTTTTCAGTGGATCCCCCAATAGAGAAGAGTACAATTGACAGTCTTAAAATTAAAAACAGATTAATGAGGTATACTTTTGTGGTGGGATTACCCTGGATTTTTGTTTTCTGTATCCATTTCTTGAAAAAAAATTGGCCAATATCTATTGTATGCAAGATACAAACCCACAAGAATACAAAAGTATTCTGATAAGCACAAAATATAGACTGTCACCTTTCTCATTCTAGGTGCTCTACTGCTGTTGTTATAGCATTAGTTGATATCAGTTTGGGGTTTTTTGTTTTGTTTTGTTTTGTTTTGGTTTTTTGTTTTGTTTTTTGGTCATGTTACATTGCTTCTGGGCATGTAGTCTACTAATATTCTCAGGTCTTTCTCAGACAAATTACTATCTAGAGATCACCTTCCCCATATTTGTACTTTTTTTGGTTTGTTTTTGTTTTTTATTTGGGCTAGGCAATGGGGTTCAGTGACTTGCCCAGGGTCACACAGCTAGTAGTAAGTGTTATGTGTCTGAGGCTGAATTTGAACTCAGGTTCTCCTGAATCCAGGGCTGGTGTTCTCCAGTCCTAATGAAGGCGTAAGTTGGTATTATTATTTTTTTTTTGTCTGTTTCACATACTTGACTTGTATTGAGCTTGTACTCTCCTAAATCTAAAGATCTTTTTCAGATGAGTTGCTTTCTAGCTATTCCTCCCCCATGTAATATTTATAAAGGTTATTTTTGAAGTAAGATTCTACTCTTCTTAAATTTGATCATATTAGATTTGGTCCATCAAAATTTTTTTGTGTCCTTAGTCTGCCATTTAACATTTCAGCTATGCCTTTCCATTTTAAAAAATTTTTTGGCTAGGCAGTAGGCTTAAGTGACTTACCCAGGGTCACACAGCTAGTAAGTGTTATGTGTCTGAGGCCAGATTTGAACTCAGGTCCTCCTGACTCCAGGGCCGGTGGTCCATCCACTGCGCCACTTAGCTGCCCCCAAATTTTTTTCGCCAGTTCATTTCTCTCTCTTTTTTCTTTTTGGTGAGGCATTCAGTATTAAGTGACTTGCCCAGGGTCACATAGCTAGTAAGTGTTATGTGTCTGAGGCCAGATTTGAACTCAGGTCCTCCTGACTCCAAGACTGGAGCTCTATCTGCTGCATCACCTAGCTGCCCCTTCCACTTTTTGCTAATTGCAAATTCCATAACCCATCTATGTTATGCCTTTAAGTCGTTGATAAAAGTATGAAATAGCAGAAGACGAAGTAGAGCTTCCTGGGGCCTTCTACTTAACGCCACCTTCTAAGTTGATATCAAACTGTTAATGACTACTCTTTAGTCCTGGCTATTCGTAAAGTTCTGATCCAAGTAGCTGTATTATTATCTGGCCTATATGTCCATATCTTGTCCACAGGGTTACCATGAGAGAATATTAAGCATTTTTCTGAAATCTAGATAAGTTTTATCTAAAGCTTTCTCTTCATCTACCAGTCTAGTGCCATGTCAAAAAAAAAAAAAGGAAATAAGGTTATTTTGGTATGAACTGGGTTTTTTTAAAGCATTTTTCTTGTTTCTTTATTAATATAGAAAAGATCCCCAAGATTAATGGACTGGTACAAAGGATCAGGTACAAATACTGTTGAAATATATGGTTAAAAATGAAACATATAAAGGTAGGGTAGATGGAAGATGCTCTGGATTAGGTAGCCAGTCTCATTGACACTATGTGCCATCCCAGGATAAGGACCTACAGCAGTACCCCATGGAGACGTGGGAAGTTGATAAATCAGTAGTAGGACTAAACTGACAACAATTCCAAAGGGTTGAGTTTGAGGGGTCACACCATGAGAGCAATCTCTGCAGTGAAGATAAGTTGCCGTGAGGTTCTGCAATGGGACCAGGGGCTATGGGTTGGGGCTGATAGCTTGTGGCAAGATTTTGTTAATACTAGGGGAGTCAGCAGTGGGAGAGGGGTTGAAGTCATTGCCCTCGTCTCCCTACCAGTGATCACTCTTAATCTATGAGGGGCTTCAAGGCCCAGAGGGAAACTCCAAGGCCTTCTAGAGAATAGTTACAAGAAAAAAAGCACAACACTGGGCTTGGTCTATGGTTTAATAGCAACCCAAGATGAGGTGGAACCGGGAGGGGGACTGCTGCTCGTCATAGGTGGGAGTAGAACATTGAGATGTGAATGGGTTGACAGATGTGCCCATATATATATGGTAGCTGGACCAGCTTCATTCTACAAGAATAAAAAAAAAAATGGATATATAGAGTCACATAGACACTGGGAGACCTGGGATTTAGTTCCTCCTTTGCCGCTCACTAACTTTATACCATTAGATAAGTCACTTTATTTAGGCTTCCACTTCCTCTAGATAAAGAGCCTAGAGTAAAAGATAGCTCTAAGATTTTATCGTTCTGAGGAAGCCAAGGAAGTAAGGATTTCAGACTTCAGGATAGGTTCAGTGCAATGAAAGTGAGTCTATACTATAGGGGTCTGATCCAGAGAGAAAAGGTGGAAAAATATAAGGAGCCTATTCACAGCAATCGTCATGGGAAATTCCCAATCTTCCCAACCTGGGAAATGCTTGTTAATTCTAGTTTCTCAATTCTAGATGAGGAGAGATAGCCTGTTCTTTGGCATAGTGTGTACAGGGAACATAGAGAGTAGAATACATGAGGAGATGGCTTTGGCATGAGAGAACAAGAAAGGATCTAAGATCCTTTGTGGAAATCCTTCGGGTAGGGAGCACAAAGCCACTACTGCCTCTCATGTCCAGCATGCTCATGACCATTGTCCTGCCCCACCCCTATAAAGAATATGAAAACTCTTCCTAGGCGGCATATTAGTTGGTAAGGGTAAGGAGGGAGGGAAGCAGAGAGGGAGATGAGGGCTGAATCTTTGTGCTCTTTTTCCCTTCCTCTGAGGATGGCAGGTCAGTCAACTGACTCACAGATCTCTTCTATTGCAGTATTGAAAATGTGTGGTTGGACTATATAGAAATGGTGTGATTCACCCTCCATAGCCACATATCAGACATTAAGAGCCTGACCTCTGAAGTTTTACTTTCTCATGTTGGCTCCATAGATCATGGTGATAAGCAGATCTTTCTAAATTAGGTGGATTTGCTCCGGCATGGGGCCCATCCTAAGGACTCCATCATAGCATTGAATGCTGTTTTTGATTCTGATAATGCCTCTTTGATTCTGGGCATTACAGCGATATATATACTCTGATACTATCGTCATCAAAGAAATCAGCAAATTTTTGCGTAAAGTCAGGATAGAATCACTGCACCAGGCCAGTCCCCTAGGGTCCAGCCACCACCCTTAAGATAGCTAAAGGACAGAGGCAATAGCCTTGACCCAGGTTGGGGGTGCCCAGATTAGGCAGTCTGAAGGGGAAACCCTATGAGTCTCCCGGAATGAGGTGTCTGACTCTTTCAGGATACTTGATAGAGCAAGATGTGGCAAGGAATCCTCTGAAACTGTGCCCCAGGGGGATCATGTTGAGGATACCCACCCACCAAGTCTCTGTAGAGGTCACAAACTCATCCTCAGCACCCTAAGCACCACAGGGGAAAATTGGCCTTGAGCTTGTCCCAAAGCCCAGCAGGTTGAAAGTGTGCACTGTATGCCAAGTACTCAGGGAGTCCATGTCTGAGAACCAGAGAACCATGCCACCCCCCTAAGCCATGCGCTATCACCAACAGCATGTAGTCCTCCAACTCTGGGTTCACTGTAGTGTTCCAGATCTTATTTTGCTTTGGGAGGGACACATAGAAGTTCAAAAACTTATTTTGGAGACTGTAGTATCCTGGCTTCCAAGTCCCCTAGCTGAGATATGGAAGTTGGATGCTGTATAAGTAACCAGCCTTGAGGCTGCTGCTTCAGAGCACTGGCCATAGTAAACAAGCCTAGCAGGGTTTTTTGTTGTCGTTGATGTTTTCACTAATATCCTTTTTTTTTTTTTACATAGCTTTATTTTTCGTTTGTTTTTTGTTTTGTTTTGTTTTGTTTTTGGTGAGGCAATTGGGGTTAAGTGATTTGCCCAGGGTCACATAGCTAGTAAGTGTCAAGTGTCTGGTCGGAGGCCAGATTTGAACTCAGGTCCTTCCAGGCCTAGTGCTCTATCCACCTCGCCACCTAGCCACCCCCTAATATCCTTTTAATAATACTTTCTAGAGCTTTCCTAGGAATCTAAATCAAACTCTCTGGCCTATAGTTTACAGAATCCATCGCCTTTTCTGTTTTGAAAATTAAGACGTTTGTCCTTTTTCCGAAACTAAAGTACCTTTCCCATTCTCCACAGTCTTTCAGAGATTATTGATAATGCCTTTAGCAATCATATCTATCTGATAGTTTTGTATGAGATAGATTGCTACCCAAAAATGGCAGTTGTTTGTTTAAGGTTTGGGGGGGAGGTTCTTTTTTTAGAATGGGGATGGGGAGGGAATATTACCTTCTCATTGGTATTTACATGGATAACATTCACTTTATATTTTATTGTCCTTGTGCCTCTTTTCATATAAGTTTCAGAAAAGCTTTAAGTTGTATTTGGTAAGAAGCTTTAGGCATGGACTCAATTAGAACTAGTGTTCTTTAGTGTAAACCTGGTCACTGTGTGTAGAAGGGATTTGCTTCTTAATCCACCAGATTAGCTGAATGACTATGGAGGAGATGCTTCTCTTCTCTGGCCCTAATGCTATATCTTCAGTAAGCAGGAGTCAGAGTAGGTCCTTTGTAAGATTCCTTCCACCCCTAAACTTCATTGAGTGTGTTATTCTACAGGAGAGTCCATTAGATGGAACTAATTGGTGGAGGGGGTGAAGTCACTATTGCAACTGAGAACACATTTGCATGTCCTTTAGTACATTGGATTTCAATAATCACATGGCTCTACTATTAGTATAGGGGCAGCTATGTGTTGCAGTGGAGTGCCAGGCCTGGAGTCAGAAGACTCATCTTATTGAGTTCAAATCTGGCCTTAGACACTTAGTAGCAGTGTGACCCTGGGGAAATCACTTGACCCTGTTTGCCTCAGTTTCCTTATCTAAAATCAGCTGGAGAAGGAAATGGCAAATCATTCCAGTATCTTTGCCAAGAAAACTCGAAAATACGGTCACGAAGAATCAGACACAACTGAAAATGACCAAATAACAAAAACTATTAGTATAGCTCACAGGTTTTAATTTCAATGATCACCTTTCCCTTTCCTGAGTTACATTTCTAATTAATTTCTCTGTTTAAGCCTGGGCATTTCTGGGAAAATTTTGTCATTAAAAAAAGTTTTGTAGTTTTTCCAAATTATTTTGATATTTGTATATTTAAAGAATTAACTGTTTGTTTTTCCAGTTTCATGTTTCAAGATTTTGAAAGCATGTTTGATATATGCACTCTTTGCCCCAGTCAAGGTCACAACCTGTCCATACCTTTTGATGTGATCCTCGTTCGTGCCTTTTTAGAAATCTCTTATGGGGAGTGGAGGGTCCCCAATTTATTGGAGTCCTTTCTCTTGTTCTTTTAATATATTGTGGATATCACTCAAGCTCTATTTACTATCCCTCGCTCTTCCTATGTTGACAAGCTCAATAGTGCCTTTTCTGGTTATATAACAGTGATATCTTTTGGCTCACAGAAGGCACTGTGGTACAGTGGAAAGAGAGCAGACTGGATTTAGAGGCTTCAGGTTAACTTTCACCTCCTATGATTTTTTCCCTATTCGCTCAGCCTCAGTTTCGTCATCTATCAAATAACAGGCTCTGAGGATTCTTTCAGGTTTAGATCTCTAATCTCCCATTATTCTTGCTTCTATTTACAATACATTTCTCTTGCCTTCGGGATTACCTGTAATTTTGATATTTCTAAGATCATGATATTATGTGATTTATAGCCATAGCAGTTATGAAAATGAAATGATTTTAAATAGAATAATAATTTTTTTCTCAAGAGTTGAATATATTCTGAGTCAGCATGTTATGTCACTTTGAGGAAGAAGTGGGTACTCATTGGTTATTCTTAAATAAAAATTACAGATCATTCTACATTCAAGTGATGTTTAGATCCAGGTTCTTAACTTGTTTGTGTCACAGACCTCCTTTGGCAGTCCGGTGAAGTATGTTGTTCACTTCTCAGAATGTTTTTAAATAATTGAAGAAATTGCTAAATTTCATTTAGAGGTTAGTGAAAATAAAAATGTAATATTTTCCTTCATCCAAGTTCACAGACACCCTGAAATCTAGCCATGAACCTTTGGGGATTTGTGGACCTCAGGTTAAAACCTCTGGTTTAAACTGAGTTTGAAATTCTTAAGATACTCAATCCTAAAACATAAGTGTCTTTTTCAATACATAAGTTGCCTGTTCATGATAATAAAATTTATATACAATAGATAGAGAGTGCCAGGCCTGCAGTTGGGAAGACTCATCTTCTTGAGTTCAAATCTGGCCTCAGATACTTCCTAGCTGCATGACCCTGGGCAAGTCACTTGATCCTATTTGCCTCAATTTCTTTATCTTTAAAATAAGCTGGAGAAGGAAATGGCAAACCATTCCAGTATCTTTGCCAAGAAAACTCCAGAAGGGGTTGCAGAGTTGGACATGACTGAAAACAACTGAACAACAACATGCAGAATATGATCTCTAACCAGAGATCATAGTCCTAGGCTTTGTTCCAGCTATCATGAAGTTTTCATTCAATGCCAGGAAATGTGGACTCCTCGAATATGGGAATTTGGGTAGTTTTCATCCTCCTGAACTGAAGAAGGGCAGCATAATTCAGGGGACAGAATGTTAGCTGAGGAATTAAGAAGACATGGCTTCATGGCTTCATGTCTTCTTTCTGAGGTACCTTTCAATACCCCAGACAATTCTCTTAAGACATAAATCACAGAAGAGTTCCTGTTTGCATCTCTGGAGGGATGTTATACACTGAGAATTCTCAGCACTAGTGAAATCGTAGATCTGGGGGAGGAAAAAGTTTGAATCTACAATGATTATTTTCATCTCCTTTATTCATAAGACTTCCTCCAGGAATTGAAGATCGTTAGTTTAAGTATTGTCTGAATTTATGCTTTGTCTTTACCTAGGCAAAGAAGGTGAATATGAAGAATTACCTAGTTCAATTTCAGCCTTGCTGGAAATGCAGAGTGTCGGTGATCTGGAGAAAAGTCCACCTTCTACTCCAGTTACAGGATCTCCTAGCCATGATGTATTGAACACAAGTGTTCCAGAAGAGGTATTGTTTTTCTTTTTTCAGCCAAAGACAAGATTTATTAGAACATCGATCAGGAGTGGTCAAGATTTTAGGAATCCGCCATATTGGTCAGACTCTTAAGGAATCTTAAGGAAGCATTTGTATTGCTAATGTAAGGTTGCCAAATTTTAAGAATCTGGGCACCTTAATGGTGGCCAGGAGGGATCTAGGAGTGGCCAAGTAGTCTGAGGTGACTGGAGGAGGGGTCTAAGGAGGATCTGGATGGGAGTAGCCAGTAAGCTGGGTTGACTGTGAGGTAACAAGGCGGGGCACCTGGACCATGTGACCAAGGGAGAATGGAGTCTAGATAAGATTAAGGGTGGGAAGTGGCCAGGAGGCAACAGAACAGAACTGGGAGATTGGGCATAGCCACAATGAAAGGCCAGTTGAGTGGATTATATAGCCTCAGGCAAACACCAGAGATTTGACCTTGTGGGAAAGTCCTGGGCTTTTCCTTTTTGGGGTGCAGATCAAAAAGACATGGTCTTTTCCTTTTAGGTGTTCAGATCCCATCCCTATCATTCCCCCCTCAAACAAATGGGACCCAGATTATTTTGGGGTAAGGGATGAAGGTCTTGGCTTCTGAAACTGCTTCCTGCTGGCAAGGGGCATAGAGCTGTCCCTGCCTTGAGGGGGTCCCAAAGAGGAGGTTGACTGGAACCAAGCCCAGGCTGTATCCAGGGGACAATGGGGGGACAGTGGCTGGTACCCGCTGTTTGCTACCAACTGTAGGTGAATGGCCTGTAGTCTGGAAGATACAAATCTGACAGAAGAGACTGCAGGGCCCAGATATAGGGAGAAGTAAAAGTGTAAGAGCCCCATTAAAATCATTATCTGATTATCTGATCTTGTTACTTTTTCAAAAGTTTAAGTAACACTTTTGCTGGTAGAAGTTTTCCACCCCTGGGTGATGGGGTGCTTGGGTGCTTGTCCTTGGACCCCATTTCCAAGGTCAAATTTCTCCCTAGCTTCAGAAACACTATCCCTGACAGTTTCCCTCCAGCCCAAGAACCGTGTCTCTGGCAGTGACTCATGAGTGAGCCCAGTGAGGCAAACTATCTCTCCCTGCTACAAGAACAAGCTGACCTGTAGAATTTCCCTTGTATGAACAGGACCATCTTGTACCAGCAGAACTATCATGTACTGATGCCCACAGGTACTGTATAAAACCCAGAGGTCAAACTATAGACGTCAACTCCCGAAGCTGTCTTGTTACAGACATAACAGACCAAAAATATGCCCTTTAGGAACCCTCTCTTTGGGGCAGCCAGGTGGTATAGTAGATAGAGCACCAGCCCTGGATTCAGGAGGAACTGAGTTCAAATCTGGCCTCAGACACATAACACTTACTAATTGTGTGACCCTGGGCAAGTCACTTAACCCCATTGCCTAGCCAGAAAAAAACCAAAAGAACCCTCTCTTCTATGCCTCCCCCCCAATTTCCAGTAGCGAATGACGTAGTTGTATGTTATCACCTAATTAGCGTACTTGGCACATAATTCACTACTTTTCCTATATGAGATTTAGCATCATTCCTGTTAGGTTGCAAGTTTCCTAAGGAGCTCTGCTCACCATGGCAGAATTCCTTAAGGACCTCTGCCTGCTATATAGCGTAACAATAAATCTTCACCACCTTGACTTAAAGAATGCTTGAGTCTGTGAATTCATTCCAGATGACCCCGTGCTATACTCTGGTCCTTGAGGGATCTAAACCTCTCAGACCTCAACATGGGTTCAATAGTTACACAAATGAATTTGCCAAGAGACTGACTTTCACTTCAGTTATCACTGAAATTCTCCCCAAACCAAACTGAAGATGTTTCTGATTTAATTTCAGTTGTTTGGGGGTATTGAATGATTACACATTCAGGTCAAAACAGCAAGATCTCACACACTTACATTGATCTTTTATTGACCATTTGCTCTGATTGTAGAAATTTGCTATAAAAGGATAAGGCAGGGACTAGATTTAGGGCCCAAATATTTCAGGATTAAACATCCTTAGCTCTGTTTGGATTCAGATAATTCACAGTTTTCTAACTGTGCAGTATCAAATCCACCTCATAGCCAGTCTCAGGAATAGCCAGGTGGGTAACATTCCTTTTTAAAGGAACACAATGAGGAAACTGAGCCAGGAGGATCCCATCTTAGACTGAGGCTAAAATTGTCCTCTCAGCTTTTTCTGATGTAGACTTCCCAACTGTATCACATTCTCTCTGAGTAGCTCGTGGCATTTCTCTCAATGGTGGATTATTGACAATTGATTATGGATGGATTATTATGATCCATCAGATAACTCAAAAAAAAAGTAATTTATGGTCCTGTGAGCTTTTACCTCAAACAGCAAGTTTCACTAATCACAGCTTAGGGAAAACTTTCCCAGGATTTACATCTCAAATTTAAATTTGTCTTGGTGTAAAAAGCCAGTCATTGGAGAGTATTTCTATACACTTGCAGATTCTCAGCAAGCCATAACCCAAACCAAGCTTTTTGGCAGGTTTACACATTAAAACAATAATCAACAATAGTCAAATTGTTTTAGCTGTAACCAAATTATGAAAAGTTTGCTTGACATAACTGATACAAAAAGTTTACCAATTTGAAGCTTGAAACAAACCCGTTAGCAATCAGGTGACTTCAGTTTTGTTAAATGCATTTCCAAATTACTTTTCATCACTAACAGTTAAAACTACCACTTTAAAAGAGTGGGCTTACCCAAGTTCAGAGGCTGGCTGGCTTCTTTATCTTGACCCATCCCCCTTCCCTCTCTCCCCACGGCTGCTGGGAGGTGAGGTGGGAGGAGGTGAACAGGATGTGTTGAATGTGCGTGATGCTGCCAGGCAAAGGTTGCCATAGGGCCCAACCCCATTGCCAGTGGGGTTCATGCTTTAGCTGCTGCCTCTCCCCCCACCTTCCTTTCCCCAGGTGGGGGGAGGGCAAATTTGAAGGTGGGGGGAGGGAAGGGTGAAACTCTCTTCCCCTATGAGAGGGGTTAACAGAGATAAACCCTCTTGACTCAAGGGAAGACAATAGGAGTGACCAGAGTTGTAAGGTGTTTCAATGAGTGATAATGACCTTAATGATCAATGACCTTAATGATCGATCACAAAACCTCCAGAATTTGCAAGATGTTTTTAGCTTTTCTAACTTTTCCCTGTAGCTTCTGTGAAGGAGGATCCAGGGGTATAGAGGGGAGGGAATAAATAAACCTCAGGGAACCAAAAAGCACCTGCAGTTTTTGCAATTCCCTAGCATCCAGAGAATTGACGGAATTGGGCATACTCTTCCACATAGGGCATCTGTCCTTGTCCTCTACGCTGCGGCAGGTGTACCCAGGTCCATGGCCTTGAACCAGACTGGTGGACTGAGAGCCTGAGAGTGTCAGGTCGAGTGTGAGACAGCCTTGTAACTGTCTGCCCAAAAAGCACCTCCAAGCTTGGTGCTTGGAGAGTGACCCCAATCACAGGGCAAGAAAGAGGGGGGAGGCTTACGTACCTTTCAGTCTTGGCAGGAGAAGAGCTTGGAGTTAGGCAGCTTCCCCATATGGGCCACCAAAATGTTGAGATTTAGGGAACCCTATATTGAGATTTAGAGGTTCTGGGATCCTGAAATAGTGACAGCAAGAGACGCGGGTCCTGCCTGAATAAATTCGACCCAAGCCTTCTTTCAGTCAGAGACAAGGTTTATTAGAACATCGATTGGGGGGAGGGGGTTTCCGAGGTTTTAGGAATCTACCATATTGACCAGACTCTTAAAATCTAAGCATTTGTATCACTAATGCAAGTGGGCCACATTTTAAGAATCTGAGCCGGTGTTTTTCAGAATATAATTTAGCATAACCTGCCTTTGGAGCAGAGATTATGGGGTGGGGTTGACTCACCAATTCCTCCCCCAACCTTGAAAAAAGGAGTTTTGGGAGAAACAGAAGAAATTTGGGCCAGGCAAAGAGGAAAAAGGAACTAGAACATAGCATTCAAATATACAGCTACCAAAAGAGACTAGATTTGAGAGCCTAACTGAAGAAAGATCCTTTTCCTTTTCTCATGAGCCAGATATGTAATCTTATCAGTTCCTCATCTGTTGCTTTCAGATAAAGATTCAGATTTTAGATTTAGATCTGATTTACCCACTATAAAATCCTGTTAGCCAGCAGAAATGCTAACTATTTGTGTATTTTATGTAAGCTTAAGAGAAAGAGCAAAAACATTCCTTTATTGTAGGGAAACCAAAGATTTGATCAGCAGGAGAAGATCTGGGGGAGCAATTAGGACAAAGTGTTAAACTCTACAATTCTGGCCTGTCAATTCACATTCAGATACTCCCAGAAATAAATTACACGCTAGTGAGATCAGCAAGCTATATATGTAAGTTTACTTTCATTTTTTGGCAGATTAGTTATGACAGATAAGCCACTCCCCAAAGTGGGAAGGGAATGGAAAGAAAGCTGTGCTTCCGCAAAAGTGGAAGAGGGTTTTTCTGTGCCCTCCCTTCTCCTCCACCTCCTGGGTACTGGATCTTCCTCCTCCCTTAAAAGAGTAGCTTACCCTTTAAATCTAGCCCATCCACTCTTGGCTGGAAACTGAAAATCTCTCCAGTACAAGTACACACTCTCTCTTATCCTCTCTCTCTGTTTGTAAGCTCAAAATAAAACACATATACACACTTAACGTTTCTGTTGGCCGCCAGGGCTTTATAGTAGGCAATTGAGATTTAAGTTGACAGAGACAAATAAGGAACTGATAAACTTGCAGGCCCAGCTAATAGGGGAAAATGGCTAGGAGGCGAAAGGAGGTCACCGGCTTTCGTTGCCAGGGAGGTGTGGATCCTGGCACTCACTTTGCCTTGGATCATACATAGCACAGTCCATATCTCCAGATTGGCTCTCTCTTGTTGCTTATATCTGAGCAACTGTTTACTTCCACACTTGGTTCTCAAGTTCTTTCGGTCTCTTTGCCCAGTTCTTGTGTCCTGATTTTCCCATCTTCTACCTATATCTCCTGTTTCTATAAGTTGTATTTGGGGTGTGAGAGTGACAAACCAACCCCTCCCCCCAGAACTACTGTCCCAAAGGCAAGTTTATTTATAAAATTTTTCTCAAATTTCAGAGGTTTAATGGAACCTCAAGTTTAGTGGAAAGAACATTGGCTTCGGAGTCAGAAGACTTGAATTCAAATCCCACCTCTGGCGCTTACTACCTTTGTGACCTTGGGCAAGTTGCTTAACTTCCCTGAGACTCAGTTACCTTATCTGTAAAATTAGAGGTTTGGGTTTGATAATCTTTGAGGTGCCTTTCAAGTCTAAAGCTAGGATTCTGTATCTTAAGGTTAAGGGGAAGGAGTCTTATCTCAGTTCAGTTAATGACTTGGGTTGTGATCCTAACCTGATCATGATCACTTAATGCTTGCTGAACACTTAGTTGTTCTTTAATTTTTTTTTTTTTACCTCTCAAAGGTTTTTATACTGTTTACCAAAAATCAGCTGTTGATAGATTATGAAATAATGTTTATACATTCACTAACCAGGAGCACCATGTTCTCCAGACAAACATTTCCACTATAACATAGCTCTAATTCATCAGCATATATAGCATTCACATCAAAGAGGATAGAACTCCTTAATGCACCACATTCTAGGTATTATTCCCAAATTTTAACAACACAGCTTTATAATGTTTTTAGTGGTAGAAGCTTGTAAACATAGCATCAATATAAAACAATCTTATGAACATTTAAAATATAAAATGTAAAGTAAAACTTACTGCCATTAATCCAGTAACATTAGTCTAACTGAATGCATCTCAAAATTATCTACATGGAAAAATACCATCGTACTTTCTTTTATCAATCCATGGCATAGTACCAATATTTATGAAATTAAGCTTGAAAGTCATTACAAATTTCTTAGTACCTTGGAGAAGAGTTGTTTCTTCAGTTTCTTGTCTTTACACGCACCACCCCCATTTTGATCTTTTCAGTTTTCTGAATCTCCAATAGCTCACAAATATCTTGGAATTCAGACTGATTCTATTACAAATTACTAGATTTCTTTTTCCTTGAAATTTTATCTCATTTTTTATTATATTACTGACATTATTCTCCTCTGCTTTCAAATCGGGTTTCATGTGTTTCCATTTAGCATTAGTTTTAATTTTCCTTTTCCTACCATTTGTCTAAAATTTTTGTATACTTTTCTCTTTATTATACTAATGCTTTAAAAATATTTTCCCTCTATATTTATATATTTTCCATATTTATATATTTCCCACCATATTATATGTTATTTTATTTGTACATTTATGCATATTATTTTATTTATACACACACATATATATATATAATATTCCATATTGTATGTGTGTGTATGTATAAATAAAATTAACCCCCATTTTTATATAGTGCACACTAGTGCTCTGTCTACAATATATTATAAAAATAAAGGAAAAGAAATATTGAAAGTAAAATTCAACAATGGTAAACTGAGTCAAGTTTCTCTGAGCAAGATAACATTTTATTAGTAGGGCTGGAACCTACCAACAGAATAGGTCTTTGACTGCCTCAGTTTCTAGGCCAAAGACTCTGAGGTGAATATTTAACTCATTTTTACAAGGTTAGAACAAAGAACAGTGTAGGTAACATCATGGAGCTGAGGACAACGTGACTGGCTACTTAGTTGAGGCATGGGGGACAATATGATTGGTTGGAAGTTGGGAATGAGAGCTAACAACAGCCCCCTACTTCTATCCTATGACTAAGAAATGTTCATTGATTGAGTCTATGTGCAAAGTCAAGAGATATTGTGCCAGACTTTTTTGGTTAGCAAACCAGACATACTTGAAGGATAGCTTGGTGTGGTGTAAAAAATACTAAACCAAGCTCCCTGGTATCCACTCATATTTCACAAGGAAAACAGATTTCCTTGAGGCAAGAATATAACAATGATTAGTAAGACAGCTGGATTTCTAAAATTAACTCATTACAAAGCCAGATGAATATCTGAACTAAGTTCAGAAACAAAGAACTATGACTTAGGTGATCACAGGACAAAATCAATAAACTATAAATGGGATCAATAAGAAATGATACAGAATCAATTTAATCCTCTTAGAAACAAGCATTTATTAAATACCTGCTATATGCCAGGTATTGTATTAAGTGATTTGAGTCCGTATCATATGAAGATCAATTGATTTAGCCTGGAGAAGGGAAGACTCACGGGGTACAAGTCTTCAAGTATTTGAAGGCTATTACATGAAGAGGATTTAGACATTTTCTGGTTTGGCCCCAGAGACTAGAACCAGGAACAATGGGTAGAACTTGCAAAGAGGCAAGCTTTAGGTTGATGTCAGAAAAAATTTTCTAAAAATTAGAGCTATCCGTAAGTGGAATGACCTTCCTTCGGAGGTGGTGGGATCTCTCATTGGAATTCTTTAAAGAGAAGCTAGATTACTTTTTGTCAGGTATGTTACTATGGAGATTCCTTTTACCTATGATTCAGATGGGATCATTGTTCTCTTACAAGTCTCAAATTCTGTGATTGCTTTGGCCACAAATGGAATATAATAAAAATTTTGATTACTAACTACTTATTTGGGTTTTTTTTTATTGATATAGACTGCTATATTTTTATTTACATTTTTTTTCTTTTTTATGATTATATTACAGCTCCATATGAGCATCTTGCAAGTTTCAATGCCTTCATTTTCACCAATATCCAAAGACTTGGAAACATCTGACAAGTCAAAATCTCCACCCAAATCAGAGACTTCAGCTGATGTGAAGTATGTCACCTTTAAAGTACACTTTAGATTATAAGTCTATTGGTATGGTGATAGACTAGGTCTTCCAAAGGCTGTGTTTCATTTTTAAACTATGGGGGAAACAAATAAGGTCATTTTATAACATGTTTCCATATAAATTATTTTAAAAATTAAAAGTAATTAAAAAGTAAATTTTAAAAAGTAATTAACACTATAACTAAGAATAGAAACATAATTTCATGTATCATGATATCATGCAATTAATTCTCCTTTAAAAAGTTGTAAAGATTATTAGCATTTCAGCTCTCTATAAAAATGCCACAGTTAAGAGGAGTTGGGGAATTCTTCAGCCTGGAGATCCTAAGATCCTCCTGGAGAGTAATTCATCCCACTTTAGTCAGTTTGATTTGAAGTCAATAAACCCAGATGCAAGTTTAAAAGATAAAATGTTGAATTAGCATCAGCCTTTGCCAGGTGGCCATCTCCTCTTCAGAATAAAGGGAGATACTCACCTACATATAGGGTTTTACAGTGCCTTGGGACAATGTTACAGGCTACAAAAAGAGCCTGTCAGGTATGGCTACACATCCATTTTCCTTATTTGGAAGGTTGAGTAATAGAAACAGGATGCCAGATGATTTGGGGGGTGGAGAGGAAGGATGACAACCTTGGGGTTGTAACTTGCCAACTTTGGCCTCTCAAGAGTTGCCAAAGATCAGGTTTATTCTGATGAGGATGTTTATGGGTGGTTTACCTCATCAGACCTTGGTTGGGCCTAAAGTCTCTTGTTAATCCCATCAGAATATCTAGACGGGATGGGGGAGACCTACTTGGAGGTATTATCAGTGGGCTTATCCGGTTGTTGAATAAAATATCAACAGAGAGTATTTCTATATAAGTATATATAAGTAGAATATATCTACTTATATTACCTGGTAGCTCCCTTTTTTTGATCTCTAAGGTTTTTTGTTTTTTTTTTCCTGTGGTAAAAGTGTTTCTCCCAAACTCAAAGCACAGATTTTATCCATTTCCTCCACAGTGGGATCTAGTTTATGACCCGAGTCAAAAGATCCAGTAATAATCTAAAAATTATTTTGCCTTTCAGCGATGAAAAAACAATTCTTGATGCTGCTTTAGAAGTGCAAATGTGTGATAATCTGTTGTAAGTAATATCTTAAATTAATGTTTCTCAGAGAAAAAAAGATTTTTCCCCCCTCAGGTCAGATATAACCAACATTAATACAGATAAGAACTTGATGTCTTAACAGTGAATATTTTTTGACCTCCTTGGTTGGTAGTCCCAAGCAGAGTGTGGGTAACTTTTTTTTTACAGGTCTAGTCATCAGTGGTAAATACATCCTCTTATGTCATTGCCACTTGCTGAGTGATAATGAAGTTTCTAGCTACCTGGCCAGCTTATGGCAAAATAAATACATCCATTTGAGACCCATTTCATTTTAATCTGAATTTTAATCATTTATTTAATTTTAAAAATGTGAAAACAGCAATGATAATATAAAAGTCTAAAGCATTTTTTAATTGAGATGTGTGAAAGGGATGTCTTTTTCCAAAGATAGAATTTAATTGTCTTAGGTCTTTTTTTGGGGGGGGGATGAGATAATAGGGGTTAAGCGACTTGCCCAGGGTCACACAACTAGTAAGTGTCAGAGGCTGAATTTGATCTCAGGTCCTCCCGACTCCAAGGCTGGAGCTTTATCCACTGAGCCACCTAGCTGCCCCTAGAATTCAATTGTCAAATAAGGTGACCCATTCATATGCTACACAACCATAGAAAATTTAATACCCTGTTCTTAATGTCTTCTGCCATTGACCTGCAAAGTAGGACATTTATCCCACTCCTTAGTTAAGTTAGGCGTTGGTATAGGGTTTCTCCAAATTTCCCTTTCTGAGTGCTAGTTTTGTCACAATTTCGGAAAAGCTGTGAGGGAAAGGGTATTACAGTTATCCCCAGTCCTGAAACAACCAGCCACGAGCCACTCTGTTAAACCAAAAGCTGCTGTGTTTCCCCTATCTTCCATTCCCGGTCTGTCCTGCAACAGTCGACGTTAAAGAATTTAGCTTCTTAACCAGACTCGGTGCTGTGCTCTGGTTCTTATCTTCTTTTCCCCCCACCCGTTTCCCTTCCTCTTTTTGCCTCTGTCTCTGTCTCTGAGTCTCTCTGTAGTTAACAACTCCAGCAGATCTTCTTGGTGGGTCCTGAAGTCTCTTTGTTAATTTCATCAGAATATCTGGAGGGGATAGAGGTGGCATAGATAGAATCAGTAGCTTGTCCTGTTGTTGAATAAAATACCATCTGAGTGTCTCTATTTTACACAATTCTGTAGTTCCTTTTCTTTGACTTGGCACTCTTTCTGCCTGTTAGACTGCCAATGCTCCACTCTGCCTTCTGGGTCCATGCTGAATGCTTGACCAGAATAGTAGTCACCCCTTTTGTGGACATCCAGGGACTATTTTGCAGAACAAATTATTCCCTTAAAAATGGTTTAGCATAGGGGCAGCTAGGTGGTGCAATGGATAGAGTACCGGCCCTGAAGTCAGGAGGACCTGAGTTCAAATCCGGCCTCAGACCAAACACTTGACATTTACTAGCTGTGTGACCCTGGGCAAGTCATTTAACCCCAATTGCCTAAAAATAAAAAAAATTAAAAGTTAAAAAAAATGGTTTAGTATGTTGGAAAGTACACCAGACTTAAATAGAAGACCTTGATTCTATTCCTGGCTCTGCCACTTAAGCTTTATGATCTTGGTCATAAGTGATTTATCTTCTTTGAATTTGAAGATCAATATATCTACCCATGTGCCTCATGGATATTGCTTAGACAGCTGTAAACAGGCATGTTCACCAACATCATAAAATATTTCTTTGAAAATGTGACATTGGATGAAACATTACAGGAGAATTTAATTCCATTTGGGCAAAAGTGGAAAGCCAGCAACATGGCCAGGGTCACTGGGGTTCAGTTTTTGCTCTTATGACTGCTCTCCATATGATTTGTATCTTCAGTGATTAGGAAAAATATCACAATTGGGATTCATAAGATTAATGATTTTTAAGATTAATCCATTTATTGAATCAATATAGTATTATTAATAATAGCTTACTTGTAATACTTTATAATTTTTTCAAAATTATTATTCTGTAAAATAAGGGGATTTGATTAAATGAAACAATATAATTCAAACATTTATGAATCTTTTATAAATAAACATTTATTATGCACCTACTGTGTGCCAGGCTAGGCACTATGCTAAGCTCTGGGTATGCAAAAAGAGGCAAAAGATAGTCCCTGTTCACAGGGAGCTCACAATCTAATGGGGGGATACTACATACAAACAAATATATACAAAGCAAGCTATGTACAGAATAAACAGGAAATAATAAAGGGAAGGCTCTAGCATTAAGAGAGGTTGGGAAAGACTTCCTGTAGAAGGGAGAATTTTAGTTGAGATTTAAAGGAAGGGAGTAGGGGGAAAATAGGAGAGAAAACATTCCAGACATGGGGGACAATCAGAGAAAATGCCCAGAGCTGAGAGATGGACTGTCTTGTTTATGGAATAGCAAAGCAGCCAGTGGTTTTTTGTTTTTGTTTTTGTTTTTTTAAAGGCAATTGGGGTTAAATGACTTGCCCAGGATCACACAGCTAGTAAGTGTCAAGTGTTTGGTCTGAGGCTGGATTTGAACTCAGGTCCTCCTGACTTCAGGGCTAGTGGTCTATCCACTGTGCCACTTAGCTGCCCCCCCCTTTTTTTTTTCAGCCAAAGACAAGGTTTATTAGAACATCCATCATATTGGGCAGTCTCTTAAGGAGTCAGAACATTAGTGAGCCATTAACTAGATTATAACAATCTGAGCCCAAAGCAGCCAGTGTTAATGGATCTATGAGTATGTGGTATAGAATAAGGTATAAGAAGACTGGAAAGGTAAGATGGAGCTAGTTTAGAGCATTGGAGTTTATTGAGTGGGGTATGTGACATGATTGGACCTGCTCTTTAGGAAAATCATTTTGGTGACTGAATGGAGGATGGATTGGAGTGGGAAGAGACTTGAGGCAGGCAGATCCACCAGCAGGCTATTGCAGTAGTCCAGGTGTAAGGTGATGAGGGCCTATACCACAGTGGAGGGCAGTGTCAGAAGAGATAAGGGAGCATATTCAAGAGACGTTGCAATGGTAAAATTGACAAGCCTTGGCAACAAATTGGAGATGGAGGATATAGAGAGATAGTGAAGAATTGAAGATAACTTCTAGGTTGTGAGCCTGGGAGTGTGGTGTTCACCTCTACAGTAATAGGGAAGGTAGGAGGCAGAGAGGGTTCAGGGGGAAGTATACTGATTGCTGTTTCGGACATGTTTAGTTTAAGAGGTCTACTGGACATCCAGTTGAAGATGTCTGAGAGGCAGATGGGAGGTCAGCAGAGAGTTTGGGGCAGGTCAGCTAGATCTGACAACAATTTTATACAGTAACCCTATGAGGCAGGCAGTGCAAACTATGATCTCCATTTTTACAGATGAGGAAACTGAAGCTAGGGGAGATAAAGACGTTACCTCAAATCACCAAGCTATTAAATAGAACTGGGACATGAACCCAGGTCTTTTGGTTCTAAATCCAATCCTATCACTTAAATGGAAATCATTGAAGGTGTTATTTTTGCTCTCTAGAATTAAATGATTTTTATAGTAAATAATGGGAGATCTAACATTTTTAAAAGAAAAAGATAAACAAGATATGAAAGGGGATCAGTACTGCTGTATAAAAGGAAGATGTGTTTGTGAGGAAATCCAATAAATCAGATGATGGAAATATGAAGCAGAGTAAGTGGGTGAAATATAAAGGAGGAGGGAGAAACAGAAGTGATCTTGTCAGAGTATCCTGCTGACTACTTGAACAGAAGAATAAAATCAATGAGGAGTTATGGAAACATACACATCAAAACACAAAATGGGACTTGTCCACGAAACTAGATTTCTATTTTATGCTGCTTTTAAAAACTATACAATAAATTGCCCACATTACTTTTAAAACTCTCCTACTCGTTAGTGCTTCTCTCTGAACTTTTGACTGTTCTTTTCTGTGCATTTAAAAAAATGTTTCAACAGTCCTCTTTTGCATGTGTATCTCTATTGCTAAATCTCTTCTCCCAATCTCTCTTCCAATTTGAAAAAATTCAACAGGAAAGAAAAAATTACCTTATAACAAATAAACATCGTCAAGCAAAATTAATCCACATAATGGCCATGTTGAACAATGTATATATTTTTTTCCCTGCACCTTGAACCCTTCACCTCTCTCTCAGAGGGTGAATGACATGCTTCATTATACATCCTCTTGAGACATGATTGGTCATAACTTGATCAGTTTCTTTACAATGTTGTTCTTGCTTGAATTGTTCTAATTCAGCTCAATCACTGCATCAGTTCATCCTATCCAAGATTTTCTGGAATCATCTCTTTCATTGTTTCTTTCTTTTTTTTTTTTTTTTAAATTTTTTTCTTTTTTTATTTTTAGGCAATTGGGGTTAAGTGACTTGCCCAGGGTCACATGGCTAGTAAGTGTCAAGTGTTTGGTCTGAGGCCGGATTTGAACTCAGGTCCTCCTGACTTCAGGGCCGGTGTTCTATCCACTGCGCCACCTAGCTTCCCCCATTGTTTCTTTCTTTACATTACATTCGTATACCACAGTTTGTTCAGCCATTAATGGATACCCCCTGTCAATTCTAGTACTTTCCTTTTTTTTTATACATCATCCCCTTTTCAGAGTCAGGAAGTTTGTTTTGCTTCCTTCACTGGAATTATCTTCCATTTCAGGTTCCCCCTCCCATCCTCACTTATTTCTCTGTTGAGTTTGGTGTATTTCTATACCAAACTATGTTCAATTATTTGCTTCAGATAAAAGGAAGGTTCTTCTAATGTTCCTTCTTCCACCATTTCTTCCATGTTCATATACTCATCTGGCCTCAGATACCAGCTGTTTGGGCAAATCACTTAAATTCTACCTCAGTTCCCTCAACTGTAAAGTAGGGATAATGACGACATCTATATCATTGGGTTATTGTGAAGATCAAATAATTTTATAGTTTTATAAGATCCGTAAGCACCTAGGGGTGCTTAATAAATGCATATTTTCTCCCACCCCTTTCACACTCTGCATATATATTTATATATTTAACTTAAATATAATTTAAATATATAACATATATTATATATAATGTATAGAATATATTACAATGTATTATTATTAATATTATTATACTAATATATAATTATAATTATTATAATATCGTATTATATTATAATAATGTATAATGTATAATGATTAATAATTATATTAATATGATGTGATTTGAATGTGTTTTATATATATATATATATATATATAGCAAGTTCTATCCTTTTCTACCCCCTTTCTATATAAGTGGATTCCTCCTTTTACCCTAACTTTTCTTCCTCAGAAGAGAATCAATCCACCTCTAGGTCCTCTTGATTCCAGGTCCACTCTTCTATGCTTCAAATACATTTATAATCAATAGAAATTATAATTGTACATACTAATTTACTTCTAGATAGTAACATTGGAAAGGTTATCTCAAGGCCTTTTCTAGACATTCTGAAATGTTCATGATATATGAGACATTTGGCAGGAGGATTTGCCAACCAGTCCCTGTTAATAAGAAGCTTTAACGAAAAGCTAAGTGTTATAACTAAATTAAATACATAGTAAATTCCCAATTTCAGAATTTCTCTAGCCCACATACAGTTTTAAGGTTTTTTTCATGATGTTTTACATGAGAAGAGAAAAGATACTGTTACGAGATTTGTTATTTGATCTCTTCTATTTGTATTTTTGGTTATTTTTAGATCTTCAACTCTGCAAAAATCCAGCAGTCTGGGCAGTTTGAAGAAAGAAGTATCTGAAACGGTTGGTTCCTCAATAGTTTCTCTTATTTCCTGAAAAGAGTAATATTCTTCCCATTTTAGAAGTGCAAGCTACACGGGGTATCTTTAGTGTCGCCCCTTCCCTGCCTTGTACCTGAGTTAATGAGAGGGTTAGCAGGTATGAATATGGACAGTCACTCATTTATGTGGAAGGAGGGAAGTTGAAAGCAATACTTTCAGCAAGCTTTCTTACCCATTGAAGGAAGAAACATGTCTTTCAGGCACTTTATTAGAAACACTACTGGGGATTTTGTTGATCTGTAGCACAGAGGTGTAGAAGATAAGTTCTGTCGGTGGGATTCTATACAATGAATGCTGAGAATTGCATGCTTTTTTCTAATACTATTTGTTTTCCTCTTCATACAGGAAAAGGAGCCTCTTCAGAAGCCTCCAGAGGTGATTTTATGACCTGGCTTAGTATAACGGATAAGTAAAGGAATTAATTTAATAAGCTCGAAAGGGTCAGGAGGCAAACACTTTTGTTAAAAAGTTAAATTGGAGACGGGGGTGGGGGGAGGAACGATCTTGTACTTGGACAATTTTAAATATCATCATGGAAACCAAACATGTGCTCATATCATCATGTTTAGATTGAGCATAACTGGGCTTCCTTGTGGAGATTTCACAAACCCCACACTTCCCCCCATCTCCACTGGCTCTTATATGACCATTTTCAGTAGAGATATTCCCAAAGTCCATGTGTCCTTTGCATGTTAAATTTAGCTATCATGAGTTACTCAATTTCTAGTTTATCCCTGATGTTAATCCTTGGTCCAGTAGTATTTATAATTGTTTTATAAAAAAGCTTTATGTGGCTATGAAGTAAGGCCTAACAATCTTCCTAGAGCGCTCTATTTCCAGGTTTGAAGGAATGGGGGATTGTGCAACAAGTCATTTTTAACACTGAAGGGAGGGGGTAGTGGAAAAGGTTTAGAGAAGCAGCTGTATGGGGGAAACAGGAATAGGAAGAGTGGTGTCTGTCTGCAGAAACGGAGCAGAAGTGTTGGGGGAAGATGAATGAATAGTGAATGAATGACTGAAACATTTATCAAATGCTTACTAGGTGCAAAGCACTGTGTTAAATGCAGGGGATACAAATAGAAAGATAGTCCTTTGCTCTGAAAGAACTTGTATTCTGATGGGGTAGACAACACATACCAAAGCTTTCATCTGTATCAGATAGAAAAGTCCCATGGTCCTTGGGGATCTCTTTGTGGTGTTGAACCTTTTGACAGTGCCCACGTTTTTGGTAGCAAGAGCTTTCTTTTCTAGCTATGACTGGAGCAGCTGGAGTGGCCAGGCGGCGTCTCAAGTTGCTTTCCATGGTGATGGCTGAGGGTCCTAAATGGGAAGCATAGCTATTCCCAAAGTTCATGGTCATGGGCTGACTCCATCGGGATCTGAGGGAACTGGTGGTCAACATGGTGATTGTAATTTAACTTGCCTGATACGTGCTGCCTCCTGTCTCGTGGTGCTTTGCCAGCTAGGCTGGCTTGCCTGCCCTCTGTGTCTCAGTTGGTAAGAAATCTGCTGATCAGATGGCATGGAAGAGGAAAGAGAAATCCCAGTGGCTAGGTCAGCCAGAGATGAATGATTTTGATGTTAATGTTGAAGCATGATTTACTGAATTGGAGTACGTTCAGACATTGAATTATGTACTAGTGTCCTAATATGGTAGAGTAAACTATTACCATGGAAAGAAAACTAACCTACCTGTATTCTGGGATCCAATGAAAATAACATTTTCTTCATTGGCTTTCAAAATCAGCTTTTTAACATCTTAGCAGTATATTTGACATTCTGTACTAGTGAGTTTGATTTTATTTTCTCACTTCTTTAGACAGTACCTCCTGGGCAAATCAGCAAATTTGGAAGCCTCCCTCCCAAAGTCCAAGGACCTGGCCCTTCAGCAGATGACAATGCCTTTGGCACTCGAAAAGCCCGATCGTCCTTTGGACGGGGCTTTTTTAAGATTAAAAACAACAAGAGGACAGCAAGTGCACCAAACCTGGGTATGTAGGGGCAAAATAAACATCTGTTCCTAAGTCTTCTTTGCATCCATGGATGTTTGGGTCATGTAAACCTGATGGTACATACAGAGGAGTGAGGTTCTATTGATGTCTTTTGCTTCTAAATCACAGTTCTTTCCAAAAGAATCAGTTCTCTGCCCAGATACTCTTCTCTTAAAACAAAGATGAAAGAAAATGGTTCAGCATAGCCAGCAAATAAATACACTCACCATGACTGAGGGCGTATTCCACACACACACAATCTGCTGCCTCTTTAATGAAAGGAGAGATATTTCCCCACTTTTCTCCAGGGCCAAGCTCGGTCATTATAATTAAACAATATCAAGTTTATTTTCCCACATTTACATTGTTGTAGTAATTGTGTATTTTGTTTTCCTAATTCTGCTTACTTGACTCTTAGCATGTCTTTCCATGTTCCTCTGAATTCCTCATATTCATCATTTCTTATGGTGGAATAATATTCTATGACATTCATCTATCACAGTTTGTTTTGTCATTCCCCAATTAATGGACATCCATTTTGTTTCTAATTCTTTGCTACTGCAAAAAGTAGTTACTATGAATATTTTAGTATATAGGGGATCTCTCAATATATATGATACATACATACATACATATAAGAAACATACAAAGGGGGCAGCTAGGTCTCAAACATTTAGTAGCTATGTAACCATGGATAAGTCACTTAACCCTGTCAGTTTCCTCATCTATAAAATGAGCTGGAGAAGGAAATGGCAAACCCCTCCAGTATCTTTACCAAGAAGACTCCAAATGGGGGCATGAACAGTCAGACACCACTGAACAACAGCATACAATATACTTAAAGGTACACACACGTACACACATGCATATATGTATGTATGTATCTATGTATGATATACCTCACACACACACGTTTATGTATCTTGACCTCCTTGAGGTATATGTCTAACCCTGCAATTGTAAAGATTTTTTTTCTTTAAAATTATAAGTCAGTGAGTATTTAGATACAATATAATCTTTACAAATAGCAGAAAAATAGCACAGAAATAGAAATGAGTAAGTCAAACAAAGGAGATATTAGTTTGTCAATCTATGCCGAAATTCAAAGTATTGTTCTTTGAAAATAACTCTAGAGAGGGGCAGCTAGGTGGCGCAGTGGATAGAGCACTGGCCCTGAAGTCAGGAGGACCTGAGTTCAAGTGTGGCCTCAGACCAAGCACTTGAAACTTACTAGCTGTGTGACCCTGGGCAAGTCACTTAACCCCAATTGCCTTAAAAAAAAAAAAAAGGACTCTAGAGAGATGCTGTGACAATTCAACAGTGTATAAGCCTTTTAACCTACTTCCTTCTTTGTGATTTAAACTTTTGAGATCAAATAGAAGAAGAATATATCTAAAGGCTTTTTCTCTTTTCATCATAAACCATTTCACATCCATTTTGGTGGTAAATAAAGTAACCTTATGTTGTTCATTTTAACAAAATTTTCCATATAACATCAGTGCTATATGGAGGGTGGGGAGAGAACAAGCGGGCATGCATTTATTGTACTTTCCTTCCCATGGTATGAATTTTGCCAGTAGGAGTTTTGATTTGTATTTTATTTTGTTATTCCTCGTGCTCTCTGCCACTGGGCTGCGTGTGATTTTATGCATTGTTGGGATATCTGAAGATCGTAGCCGAAGTGCAAGTGCACCTACGTTAGGTATAGTACTTCTGCATGCCAGCCTGTGCCAGTGCCGTGCCTTTGAATGTAGCTAACCTCTGATTTTGGCCAGTGCAATTGCTAGAAAGTAGGCTGGCAGTAATCAGAAAATAAGATTCTTCGCGCTGAGATTTTTATTTCTACCCACCTCTTACTAAAAGGAATTTTCTATTTAACCCTCGCCCACAGCTTCAAGCCTACTCTTCTGTTCCATTATAACCTATACTAATGAGAGCTCTTGTGAGTGTACTTGTGATGACTTAGAAGCTCACTCTTCTTCTCAGAAGGTGGTAATGTAGGAGAGTAATGTGCAATTAGGTAGCCTTTAACAGCTTTATCTCCATGTTTTCTCCATCTTGGGTGCTTAGTAGCTTAGATATCATTATGCATTCATTACTGTCACCAAAAACATCCTTCCTTAATGAGAAGAGAAATTATTAACTATTAAACATTTTGCCTCTGTGGCTCTGTGATCTTTTCCTTGTATTTGACTTTCTGAAGGAATATTGTCAGCTGAAAAGAGAAGAAGTCTTTGGAAAATCTCACAGCTGATAACTTTTAGGCTTATCTCAGATCTTTTAGAGGATGAATTATTGTAGTACTTTTGAGGGATTTTTGAAGAAAACTTGTGAGATGAGTAATCAGCTTACTTCAGTGGGTCTGAAAAGATCTTAGAAGACAAATATTTTATCACAAAAAGAAGTAGAATTGGGGAGAGAATAGCAGGAAAGCTACCTTGACTCTCAAGTAGCAAGTCACTAGAAAAAGAAAAATAAAGAATAAAAATGAGATTGGACTACTATAACTGAGGAGGACAAAGATAATCTGTTCTAGGGGTACCCCTTAACCTACTTCAGCTGCAGAGGAAGAACTAAAAGCTTTCTTTGTTTTCTCCCAGGATGTCCCTGTTTTCATGTGTAAACATTCCCATCTCTGTTTATAGATCAGGGCAGAAGTAGGACATATATACTCAAGAAAAGCCAAATGACCTATCTCATGCTATATTTTTTGGTAGCCAGACTGAGCACTGCTGTGTGTGTTGGGGCCAGGGGTCAGAGGGAAGAGAGGAAGGCCCCGACCTGACCCTCTTTTGCCATCTATTTTCAAATGTTTTTGCCCCTTTCTTTAGAACACATTCTCGTTTTGCTGAAAGGCATATGCTGCTTATCTATAATAACCTTGCCATCACAGCTTTGCTTCAATAGAAAATGAACCTCTGCAATTTCTCTGATCTTGTTCAAACAGCTGTTGATGTGTTTTCTGGATAATATTTTCTTTCCTTTATAAAATTTAAAGTATTACATTAAAGTAGCCATACTCCTTACGCTCATGTAGCTGAAGCTTTCTTCTACTGGGAGGCCTAAGGCCATTGGGAATGCAGGCAAAAGAAGCAGCAAGATGGACTGCTTTTCTCCAGGCACATGTGGATGTTCACCCTTCAAGTTGGCCCTTTATCAAAGGAGAAATTTTGCTTTCATAAGTCAATTTCAAAACAACTCAAGAAATGATTATTTGTATAATTTTAAAGCCTATAGAAATATCAGGCATTACATTTCAATGCAATGGTTTATAAGTTAGAGACATGTAATTTGTTGACTCAGAGTTCCCAGTGAAAAATCACAAATAAAACTGCACTCCCTTCAAAAAACTGCAACAATTAGATAATAGAATTAGCTTTTCCTGAAGTGTTAGATTGGGATAAAATGAAAAATGACTTTTTACGTAATTTTTAAAACAATATTTTTCAGGGATCATTCAATATGCATTTATTGAGTGGCTGTTAATATGTGAGTCACAGTGGTAGGTACAAGAAGAGTGATAGAAAGATGAAAAAAGACATAGTAGGAACTATGTACTCTAAAGGTGCTTGGTTTAGTAGAGGAGAGTAAGATAGTTAAATAAATGATTTAGCAACTAGATGGTACAATGGGTAGATTGCTGGGCTTGGAGACAGAAAGGCCCGAATTCAAATGCAGCTTCAGACACTTAGCTAGATATGTGAACCTTGGACAAGTCATTTAACCTCTGTTTTCTCACATTTCTCTTCTGTAAAATGGGGGAGAGTAATAGCCCCTACCTCCCAAGGTGGTTGTGAGGATCAAATGAGATAATAATTAGGAAGTACTTAATATAGTGCCTGCTACAGAGTCAGTACTATATAAATGTTGTGATGATGATGATGATGATTATGATGCTATAAGACAGTTTGCAATAAATACTTTAAGTACAAAGTGCTACAGAAATTGAGGAACTGATTACTCCTAATTGAGGGGATCAGCTTTTGGAAGAGGTTGAATTTGAGCTTGGGTCTCAATATATGGTGGCAGATAGGACTCCAGGCAACATGCACGGTGTCAGCAAAATTGTGGATATGAAAAAGTTCCAGATGTGTTCAGGGAATGGTGATTTGTTTCGTTTGGCTAGTGTATATATGTTAGAAGATTAACCTGACAATGTAGGTTGTGCTCATGAATGCCAAGCTAAGGAATTCATACTTGACTTAGCAGGCAATAGAGAACAATAGGCTTTTGAGTAGAGGAGTAACATAGTTAGAGCTGGTGGCCTTGGGAGAGCAATTTAGGAAGCTGCTGCAGAAGTCAGGGCAGTAAGTATAAAGGCCATACACCAGGATAGTAGTAGTGACAGTGTTCTGGAAGGGACAGATTTGACACTTTTCAGACTAATATTGTGAGGACTTGGTGACTGATAAAGGCAGCAGTCATGGGAGAGAAGAGTAGAAGGTGACACTAAGGATTTGTATAATAGCGATGTTATTAACAGAGGTAGAAGTCAGGGTTCGTTTTGAGGGGAGAATGAATGAGGGTTTGGGGCATTTGTTTTTGAAGAATCATTGAAGGTTATTGAAGTGTAAACAACTAGGAGGAAATTGAAAATGGTGTGGGAGCTTAGAGGAATAGTCTGAGATAGAGATTTTGGACTTAGCACAGTTGATAGTTTATGCCATGGAAAAAGATGAGGTCACTAAAGGAAAGAATAGAGAGACAAAAGAAAAGGCAAAAAGAGTCTCAGAACTGAACTTTGGGGAATGGAGGGAGGAAGACACAAAGGAGAAAAAGACAGGGTGGTCCAAGAGGAAAGGATGATCAGGATAATGCAATGATCAGGAAAATTTCCCCATGAATAATTTTTGGCAGTAATTACATGCTACAGAAAGGATAGAGACCAAGAAAAGACCATTTGATTTGAAAACTAAAGGAAATCATTGATGATCTTCAAGAGAACAGCTTACAGATAGGTTCAAGACATGCCACCAACTCTGCCTCCCCCTAAAAAAAAGGCATGACATCTCTGTAACCTTTTTCATCTAGGGTTTCTAAGTTATTTTCATTTTTAAGCTAATTTACTATTCAGATATCTAGTTGACTCAAATTCTTGGTTCATCTTTTGGTAGCTACAGTGTGGGATACCAGCAGGAGAGATTGTTATATGTTCCTGAAACTAAATAAACTAACATTGATTGAATTTCTTCCACAGTTCTAAATTCAGTGAGTCTTTTTGTTTTGCTCTTGGAATAGCTGAAACAGAAAAGGAAACTGCTGAGGACCCAGCTGGCTTATCATCCCTAGGAAAGGATGCAGAGTGCACCAGTCCCTTCCAGATATCTCCACCTTCTCCAGACTCTAAAAAGAAATCCAGGGGTATCATGAAGCTATTTGGAAAGTAAGTGAAAGAGGAAAATTTAGGACTCCTCATGAATAGCTCAGATTTCTCTATTTCTCTCGAATAGCCAAGAAAATATCTTACATATAATGGAGACTCAACAAATATTTGCTAATTTGATTAAAGAAACCTATAAATGGACAATTTAGCTGAGGTTGGACAGGGTAAGTTACCATTTTAGGTCACTTTGAGACATATGGAGAAGAATATCGTGAACTCAACCCATCTACTCTCATGTGTAGCTGAATTTCTAAAGTAGAGAAAAGAGAGAGGAGGCCATGAGGTACAGATTAATTAAAATGTTCCTCTTGAGATCTCTAAGCTGCAAGGTCTTCAGACATTGTGTATTGTTGTATCTGTTTGGTCCATTATTCAGACTTAGGAGGAGCCAATCTACCACTTTCAATCCAGATGATATGTCTGAGCCCGAGTTCAAAAGAGGAGGAACACGAGCGACCGCTGGACCCCGTCTGGGTTGGTCTAGAGACCTGGGGCAGTCGAACAGGTAAGAAAAACAAAACCAACTGATAGAAAGAGTGCTTTCCAGCCCTATTCACGAGCAGGTAGGTGGTGCAGTGGATTGAGTGCTGAGTCAGGAAGACCCAAGTTCAAATCTGGTCTCAGACACCTATTAGCTGTCACTTAACCTTTGCCTCAGTTTCCTCATCTGTAAAATGAGGATAATGATGGCACCTACTCACGGGATAGTTCTGAGGATCAAACAAAATAATAATTGTAAAGTGCTTAGCACAGTGCCTGGCCCATTAGAAATGCTATATAAATGTTAGTCATGATGATGATGATGATGATGATATTGTTAGTGAATAGAATGTTGTTTGCAATTTGAAGACACTGTTCACTGAAGTGAGTGGTGAAATATCCAATTTTATATGCCTCATCTTTCACCTATTTCTCTTTAGAGCATGGTGATAAGATACTGTGAAGAAGGTCAAGATAGGGTAAGCTAGTCCAGGGACTCAAGTATTGGAATGTCTCATGTATGATACAGTACGTTAGCTACCGAAGCCTGTGAAAGCAGGACGATCGAAAGCTTTTTAAGATTCCTTAAATTTCTCAGTAAGTATTTCTGTGTCTTTTGAATATTAAGGCTGAGTAGTTTCTTATATTTGTATCATGGTTCAGGACTCCTTCTTGGGCTATTTAACTGGCTTATTGCAAAAAGAAGGCTAGAATTGGCAAATACCTGGTCCAAGATGTGAAAACAAAAATTTTTAACAGTGGCAATGGACTAGAAACTCCCGTATTCTTTGTCTCCTGTACTCTTTGCCGTGTTTTGTGTTTTTTTTTCTTGTCCTTAACAGGATCTTTTTGTGTCATAAAGGTCCTCTGGAATTTATGGAGTACAAGGGTGCAATAGAAAGAAGGTCATCTCTAAATTTTTTATTAAATAGGAATTCTATTTGTAAATTTAAATATATTAAGTAAGAATTAAAACATTCTCCCTTACTGTTCCTTTAATTGAATTAATATTCTCTTCTAATTTCTTTCTTCCTTATTGAAATTTCTGGAGAGAAAACATAACTCTGCTAAAGTTATCACAGTTGGATTTAGGTGTATTTCAGTCTTCTGAGGGATTTGCCCCTCTTGCTAAAACTCAAACAAGAAATGGGAAGGATTAAGAAAGTACCACCCATTTATTTTATTGCTTCTTTTAAACAATGTGTTTGGCTGAACCACACTGAAACTTCCATTTTAGCCTATATTGTTTCAGATTTAATTGAATAGTGTGGCCCTAGAAGGCAACTTGTAATTCTACTGGTTCTCTTCCTTCCCAAATAAGGAATCACATATTATTCTTTACTTAGCTATATTAGAGGAATGGTCAAAGAGATGCCAGATCATCAGCAAAGATATTGTTCAGTGCAAAAATATAAATCTGAGGCTTTTAAATTTGTAATATTTTCATTTTCCTCTTAGTGACTTGGATATGCCGTTTGCCAAATGGACAAAAGAGCAGGTTTGCAACTGGCTCTTGGACCAAGGGTTAGGTTCGTACATGAATTCAGGCAAACACTGGATTGCATCTGGGCAAACTCTTTTGCAGGCTTCTCAGCAAGATCTAGAAAAGGTGAAGGTTTTTTGTTTGTTTTATTTTGCTTACCTAAATTATTCTCTGATGAAAAAATATATATTTATGGTTTCACAGTCTAGAACAGAGATAAGAAGAGGGGAAACCTAAAGTTTCTGAGTAAGTTTGTGTGTCTTGCTTCATATCCATATCCTGTCAAAAGATTTAGTCTCTTTGAGAGTAAGGACTAAGTCTTTATGATGTCCTAGGCACCATCTAGACCAGTGTGAGCATTAAATGTTAAATAATGGCATGAACATAACAATGCAGTGTCATGATTGTAGCCCCTTCCTCACCCCACCCCCAGTCATCCTGCCTCTCCTATAGTCATTTCTAAACTCCACCTTGTAAGAAAGGTCTGTGCTTCAGATTCAGGCTCCATTAAACTCCTTGTGCTATAGGGGTGAGCTTGCATTGTTGAAGGCCCTGCTAGTAAAGAGCAAACTTTGGCAGGTCCTACCAAGCTGGAAAAGTTTTTTCTATATGCTCAGGAACAGTGCCTATGATTGTTCTGTGTCTGTGATTACTGTGTGAAGAGAATCCTACCTAGCAATTTTCATAAAAGCCTATGACCAGAAAGGCAGCCACTAGTTACTGAATTTTTTGGTCAGCATAACTCACAAAAACATCTAGTAAGCCACGGAGAAGTTGTAATCTGCATAGATGGAGGGAGTATCCTTACCAATGAAATCACAGATTGGAAGTGTTAATATGTTTTTAATAAAATAATGAGGAAAATTGTCATTACAGATGCTCTGTAATGTGTAGGTCCTGCTCTGTGAAGGAGACCTACAATATAAGTGAACATGTAAAATACTCTAATCCTGGTGGGTGTGGTTTTACAAAATATCTTTCCAAGGACTGAGCTACATGTTCTAATCAGCCAACAAGACTGAATTACTTTTCTGATTCTCTGTAGGCCTGGGATTTTTAAAACTTCACTTTGGGGAAAATGAATTTTCATTCTTCGTTGAAATCATCCAGTTCTCTCTGCTAGAACTGTGAAATAAATTGGTTGTTTATTCCTCTAGGAACTGGGAATTAAACATTCACTTCATCGAAAGAAGCTACAGCTAGCTCTACAAGCCCTGGGATCTGAAGAGGAAACTAATCATGGAAAGCTGGATTTCAACTGGGTTACTAGTAAGATTTTATGATTCTCATAAAAGCTCCTGCTAATTTTGTTTCTTGAATTGCAGGAAAGTAGACCTTGTTATATAAATTGTTAATAAATATCACATAGTTTTGTGAGGAAGAACTAATAGTCTTGGTTTGTTTGTTTTAGGGTGGTTGGATGACATTGGTCTTCCCCAATATAAGACTCAGTTTGATGAAGGAAGGGTAGATGGTCGGATGCTCCATTATATGACTGTTGTAAGTAATTCTTCCTTTTGCCACCAGCAAAGCTGTCAAAGCCCATTTTGTTACCCTCATAATGCCATTCATGATAAGACCCTGTTATTTCTAGGCTTTAGCATTCCTGACATTCTCAAAAAATCATCTTACTTTTTGCATTCATATTTTGTGACCTGCCCTTGGTCCCATTTTCCATATGTCTTTTAGATATCTGAGTTGGTTGATGAGTTTTCTTCACTCCCATGTGAGTCTTTTTAGATAACTTCCACTTTTCCTTCTCTCTTAGAATTGTTTGTATTTATGCCTTCAGAATTTTGTTCCTGAGAGTGGCACACCTCTCTTGATGCCTGTAGAATTCTCCTTGTAAAATTTTAGGTTGAAGAATTTACTCACTGGAAATTTTTAATGTTTAATGTTACTTTACTAATCTCTTTTTCCAGTATTATGCTCTTGAATAATATATGCCATTTCCTTCTTATAATCTAGTCAAGAGCCACATCTCATCAAGTGTCAGTGATATCTAAGGATAACAGATGTACCATCTTGTCTTACATCCTTCTGACAGCATTTAGTAAAATAAAAATAAGAGTATAAGTTATAATGTCATGCCATGGATAAAAAAGTCCTTGTCTAGTAATATGTTAAATGTGTTTTTATATCCTTATATCAAGATACTATCTTTCAAGAAAATTTATCTAGTTAAACCTAGAATTTCCTTCACTGGCAACTGCAGGAATTGAAAATAGTTATCAATGTTCCATGCCTGCTCTCTTTTTTTCTTTTAAAATATAACAACCTTGAAGCAGTTAAAAAGCTTAATTTCTTCTCCTTTTTATCACATCTGTTATCACTAAGGTGTGCCTCGTATGACTTTTTTTCCTTTTCATATACTGCAGGTGTTTTGGGGTGGGTCTGGTGCTTATCTTAGCACTGCCTTCAAAATTACCTTCCCTGAAATAAAGTCTTTTCTGCGGCATCTGCATTTTATATCTCTACCTAATTATCATCATCATCATCATCATCATCATAGGTAGCATTTGCATACAGCTTTATGATTTGCAAAGTGTTATGATTCAGTGATTAATTGATTAATGAAGAGGAAATTTTGAAACTTTGATCAATTTCTCCCCAATGTCTTTACCCTAGTTAGCAGTGTATTTCTAAAATTGTTTCAAAGCCTAGCATGAAAGATTGGGGCCAAGTTCTTCAACCTTTCTCTTGTGGATTGAATGGGAAATGGTAAATAGCCAAAAGTTTAGGGAATTTTCTTGGAACAGCAATAGCTATTGGAACCTTCCTTTTCTCCACTAGTTAAGAGCTCTGATTAGGAGATCTGATCTTGCGGTTGCCTTTAGTGGTAGTTAACAGATGCTTTGTCAAAAGATTGTTGGTACTTAGAGAATTTGGAAATATGCCACTGGATACTCCACTAACTTGGAGGACTTGATTTTGTGAGATTAGAAGAAAGTGGAGAATTTGACTTTAAAGTCTGATTTTCCTGATAAAGGAAAGATTCTTATTATAATCCAGCATATGTACTAAGTATTTCTTCCCTTTTCCCCTCCAAGGATGATTTGTTGTCTTTGAAGGTTGTTAGTGTGCTACACCATCTTAGTATCAAAAGAGCCATCCAGGTGCTAAGGATAAATAACTTTGAACCCAACTGTCTACGGAGGCGACCATCAGATGAGGTAACATTTGCTATTAAGTCTACTTGTACTTTCCAGGTATCTCAGTGCCTAAAAGTAACTAGAAAAACCCAATATATCTGCTCTCATTTTCTCAATTCCATATATACTGGATTTAAAGTTAGAGGACCTAGGTTAGAATCTCAACCATGCTACTTATCACACACACGATTTCATTTTTCTAAGCCTCAGTTTCTTCATCTGTAAAATGAGAAGATTGGGTTAGATGACCTTTGATGTGCCTTCCAGCTCTAAATCTGTGTTCTTACATGACTGTTCTCCATGTTGATAATTTTAAAAAATCTGTTCTTTGGAACATATCATAACCTGTCATAGATTTTAGATCTGGAAGAGACCCTTGTAGGATATCTACCTCCCTCCCCACCCTCCTACCCTCTATTACAAACAATAACAACTTTCTGCTTTTAGAATGCTGGACTAGGGAGTCAGGAGCCTTAGGCAATATAGGGCAATTTCTTTTTCAATAAAGCAATACATTTAATAGTAATGGTAATATTTTACTATAATCTAATACATAGATATGGGACGTGTATATAATGAGTGAAATAATTTGGAATATGTAGTATAAATATATATAATTTTTAGTAAAGGAAATTTAAGTTATCTGTGTCTTTAAAATGTTTTAAAATGTACTTTAATCTTTGTTCTAAATAGCAAGTACATTTGCAGCCCAAAAAGGGTGTGTGCCTGGATGTGGGGATTTGATTATACAGGCAGGGTGGGAATTATTGACAAAAAAGGAAGGGTTAATTAAGACTTGAACCTGTATGTCAACAACTAAAACGTCAGTGGTTGCTTGTTCCCATAGAATAACATCACTCCCTCAGAAGTTTCTCAATGGACCAATCATCGAGTGATGGAATGGCTACGTTCTGTAGATTTGGCAGAGTATGCGCCAAATTTGAGAGGGAGTGGTGTGCATGGTGGACTCATGGTAAAGCTGTGTTTCAACTTAAAATGTATTTGATATATTTGGTGAACATAAGTACGAGACATTTAAAAAGTTATATATGTAGCATGTGCTTATTTCTTCTGTGTTTTGATCAGTAGTATGGTGTCAGTTTGGTAACATGAATCCTCATAGTATTTTAAATCACTTAGTCCATGCCTCTGCTCTTAGGGAGAAATATAACTACTTATCTCAGACAGGTTCAAATTTTTAGAGATCTTCAGGGAAGAATCATAGAATCTTAAGAGTTGGAAGGGGCTTGAGTCTAGTCTTACCCACCCTTTACTGAAGAAATCCATGCCATCTACCCCAGGCCTGACAAGTGCCATCTGAGTGAAGACCTCCAAGGAGAGGGAATACACCACCTCTCCTTGCACAAGCTGACTTTGTCCCCTGTGTGGCCCTGCCAGGCCCTGTCCAGATATCAGAGATTGTACTAACTTTCAGATTCCTGGAGTGCCCCAGGATATTCACCACCCAGGTGCTTCTGCCCTCTACCTTTATCTCCTTGGGGTATTAGGGGACCAAGGAAGGATATTTTGGTCCGAGGAGTCACAGGGAAAGTGAGTAGAACAGTACCCTTTCCAGAAATAATGGTAGCCTTGATTTGATTGCTGGTTCTAGATATTATAAATTTCCTTATTGTTACATTTTAGTGGGTAATAATCTTACTCTAGAGTTACTCATATACTAGTTTATATAATTGTAAATACTGTTTAAATCCAGTTCCTTTTCCTGTCCTATATGGATCTGGATGATACCTAACCACCATTCTCCATGTAATAATCTTTGCTGTAATTGAAAGCTTTTCTATTGATTATGTATGTATAGATGTTACATCCTGAATATTGGTTTTTAGTATCATTGACAAAAATATGCTTACAGGTTCTGGAGCCTCGTTTTAATGTTGAAACAATGGCTCAGTTGTTAAACATTCCACCAAATAAAACACTGTTAAGACGGCATTTGGCCACCCATTTCAACTTATTGATTGGTGTTGAGGCTCAACGTCAGAAGCGTGAGGCGATGGAGTCACCAGATTATGTACTTCTAACAGCTACCGCCAAAGTGAAAGTAAGTTTAGGTTCCCACCACTGAGTGTGTGTAAACAACCAAGATTCTATGGGATCACATCAGGGCGTCCTGTTAATAGGGCTTTACTCCTTTCATAAGAATAGAGAATATTAGTTTGTAATTGAGTTACCTAAATAATACATAGAGTAGCATTTTACATATGTGAATCACTGATATAAGAGACCTTAGTCAATTAAACCTTTGTTATTTCACCAAAATTACAGTGTACAAACATTCAGGAAGTGCTTTATAATCACCATATTGTTAAAGAGGATACTGTATAGCCTAGAACAAAGTATTATATGGTTTCCAGTCTCTTATGTGGCTATATCCAGAAGATAAGGAGGGTGTTTCCTTGTTTAACAGCAGCTGCTAGATGTACTTAATCAGTGAGCAGCTATCTGTAAGGTTTCAAGAGGCACCAGAGAAATGAAGCAATGCGTTTATATTGGAAGAAGGTTAAAAACGATATAGGCTAAAAAACTATATTAGGAATGTCTGCCAACTTAGGTGGATTCTTAAATGATATCTGATTCGGGTCCAGTCCAGGCTATTTCTTTGTCTTATTTTTCCAAACAGGATATTTTAATAAGCTTAAATAAAGATAAAGATCTAATTACAAACCCTTGTCCTTACCAGCCAAATAAAGAAAAGATATATCAGATGATTACCTTACCCATGTCCATCTAAGGATCATTATGAAATTTAAGACAAAGCTCATTTTTCAACTTTGGGTGCATGAAGTTAGGGACTTCAGTCATTCCTTTATTGGGCCCAGGTTTAATCATCAATTTTCTTATTTGTAAATGGCTTATAATTAAATAATGAATATATCAGGTCTCATGAGCCCCTAAATGATTTTACTGAATTACTGGTTTCACATTTTTCTTTTAAAGCCAAAGAAACTCACCTTCAGCAATTTTGGGAATCTAAGAAAAAAGAAACAAGAAGATATGGAGGAATATATATGCCCAATGGAATTGGGACAGGCATCACGAAATGCAGCCAAGAAAGGATACAGTCCTGGTTTGGACATTCGTCTATATGATGATGATGATTTGGACAGACTAGAACAGGTAAATGAGAATGTGAGTTGTTCAGATACTAACTGGCATATGAGTTCTAATATAAGTTATAATCATATTTATGTTTTGATTAGAGCTTTTAATAACATTTCTTTTGTGTCATAATCATAGATCATAATAATGCTATTAACAGATTTTATTCCCAGGATAAATGTCAAAGTTATTCTCTCCATCTGACTAAATTGTCTGAGATGGCAGCTACTAGGTGGTACTGTGGATAGAGCATTGGGCCTGGAGTCAGGAAGACCCGAGTTCATATCTCGCCAAAGACACTCATACCTCTGTGTCCTTGGTCAAGTCACTTAACCTGTTTACCTCAGTTCAGCTGAAAAATAGGGTGGTTGTGAGGCTCAAATAAGATATTTGTAAATCACTTAGTATTAAAAGTATCTAGAAACATAGTAGGAACTATATAAATGCTTATCATCTTCATTATCATATGAATAGAAATTAAGGGAAGCCAGAAATATTCAGGGTACATCCTTGACCTTTTCAGAATGAAAGGAAATCATGATCATTCAACAAAAAAAAAAATAATAATCTTTTGGTGTCTTTGTCAAAGACAAAACGATGGAACAGTGAGTTGAGTGGTCCATCATTCTAATCTTCTTGCCTTTTCATACATTTTTTACTAACCTTTTATTATAAAGATATTCTTTTTATAGCTAATTTATATCGTTGTGGATACAGTTTAAGTCCTTTTCCTCTTCCTGCTCTACCTATACATAGCTGGTTAATAGTTGACCACCTTTCTCCATGTAATGATCTTCACTCACTCAATAAACATTTATTAAGTGTCTACTCTGTGCTAGGCACTGGGCTAAGTGCTGGGCACTTGACTATATTTAAAAGCTCTTCTTAAGACACTAATTATGTGTGTGCATGCTGATGTTTATAGTGATTGCTTGCTGTAGATTAATTCCAGGAGAAAATACTTGTGTGTGAAGGTTCAGTTTGCCCCATTTGATATTACTACAACGTCTTCTGGACCCAAGTCCAAGTATATGGTCATACCCAGAAGAATTCATTAGGTATAACATGTAGTATTACTACTTTGATTATTGGTAATTGCTGCATTTGTCTGAAATCCAAAAACCTCTGGATGATTTGTTTCACGCAGATGGAAGATTCAGAAGGAACAGTAAGGCAAATTGGGGCATTTTCAGAAGGCATCAACAATTTAACGGTAAGTATCTAACATGCTTTTTGGATATCCTGACCTCAACAAATCTAAAATTATACAGTTCTTGAGCTTTTGATTCACATTTTGTATAACTCTCATTCTTTGTTTTCCAGCACATGTTAAAAGAAGATGACATGTTTAAAGACTTTGCCACACGTTCTCCTAGTGCTAGTATTACAGATGAAGACTCCAATGTGTGACAGTGACAGTGACGGCTGGATACCCATTAAGAGTCCTCTTTTCTGTCCCATTTCAGAAACACATTCAGGAGATGTGCTGGGCTACAGATTGTTCTTTCTATTGCGTTCACTTCTACTTGTTTAGAAGTGATATTTTTTTCAAGGGGACAAGGGAGGGGGTGGGGTAGGTGTCTATTCTGAAGTTGCCATGAACAATGAAACACTGTTGAGTGGTAGTATAATGGTTTTTACTCTATTTAATGTATAATTCTGTGACATATTTAAAATATTGCTTTTTAAATGATGTTACCATTTTGTTCCTCTTCACATTAATGGAAGACTTTGGAAGAAAATGAGCTATTAAGTAAAGTATTCCATTTCATTTACTGTGGCTTTTTTAAACAAAAATTAAGTGATTACTGATAAATTTCTCAACATCAATACATAGAATTCCTTAACTATTAAATGTGTTCACCTGAATGTCACAGTTATATCCTTACATGCCTTTTTACTATTTCTGTCTTATTTTTGTACATTTTTCTAAGCATGTATACACACTTAAATATATTAAATCATAGCAAACAGAACTTTTATTTTATGACATAGGAAGATAATGAAAAGATTGTTGTTGTTGTTGTTGTTTTTAAACAAGTATTGATTACCATTTGTATATGTACCAGCTGGTTCCTGGAAAGATTAGACTTTTTCAACTCGGGACTTTATCATCTTACCAAATGCTGACAGTGTTGACCATTGTGACAAAATTAGTGACAAGTTAAGTTAGTAAATCCGAAATCCCCAAGAATTATTTTTCTACCATATGTTGGAATATTATGCTATTTAAGATTTTGACTTCAAATCTTGGATTCTTTTACTTAAGAAGAAGAACTTGAGGGCTATTTTTTATTCTGCAACTAGAATAGCTTTTTTTTTTATTCCAAAGGATTCATTTAGAAAGAATTTCAAAATTAAAAAAAAAACTTTATAGTATTAAACTCCTTATCATAACCCTACCAGTAGGTTGCCTAGTATATTTTAATTGTAAACCCTTCCTGCTACCAATGAATGGAGCTTTTAAAATGGGTAATTTCCCTAAAGTTTTATCCCAAAATAAAGTTCCATCCAATCAATTTAGTATTCTTATACTGGAAAAGTAGTTTGTGATGCCAGTTTTGTGATGTTAAATGGAGTCTAAGCTGTTCTGTAGTTCAGTGGTCCTATGTTTTTGGAAAGAGAAGAGAAAACTACAAATAAAACCGTTGCCTACTATTATATTTTTTTAAGGGTTTTGGGAAATTATTGAACCAATAATGTATGTACATAAATTGTCAGGCTAATGAGTACACATTTACTCCTTTATTCAGTAGGACAACTTGGGAAGTAGTCCTGCTCAAGAATTTTAATGGAGTTCATAAATACTATTAGGATACATAAATTGCAAACTTTATTTAAATATCAGAGACATAAATTTTCCATTTGTCACTAGGAGATTCTTCCTAGGTCTTGTAGTTTTAGATTATTTATTTATAACTGCCGTGAGTTGATAAGAATATTATTATGCTACCTTTAACTCTACCACTCATTATTTGATAATGGCATCAGAAACTGTTATTAATTTACTGTGTTCATATTTTAATAAAAATACAAATGGCCATGCATTTTGCTTATTGGAAAATTCCTTACCAACTTCTTGTTATGGCCCTAAATAATAATATCTGGAGAATAATATAAATGCCAAATTAACTTCATTTAGTACAATCTAGCTAACAATTTTTATGACACTGTTTTTAAAAAGAAAATTATAAAAGCGCGCACTACTGGGTATTTCTATGGAATAGCAAATAAAAGTCAATTGGAAATTTCCATGTACTCTGATTTCTAGTCTTCTTTAATCTTTTTGATAACCTACAAGGTTTATTTTGTGACATCAGTAGAAACATATAATACATGCCAAAGAATAGAAATGTGAGACTATGACTTCGGATATTTTATTGCTAGTAATAAAAAAAATAGGCACCTGGACTAATGATGGGTGGTCATAGTGCATGGGGGTAGAAATATGAAAAATATATTCATTGTCTTCACCTGCAATTTCTAGAAGTAAAAAGAGATACTATGAAAGGAAGGGTATAAAAGGAATTAAGGTGCTAATCTGAATTCAACTAAAAATTTGCAACTGTTTGGGAAGCAAATATTGAGAGTATAAAGTAGAAAAAAGCAAAGTGTGGAATTCTAGGGAAGACTGGATGCTTTGTGTAGATGTTAGTTACTAAGCCTTGTTAAACCAGTTTGAGTCGGTCCAAACAATACACCCAGCTGACAAACCAGGAAGCCTAATTTGTTTATCTACCTATGTCAGGCTATATAGTTAGTGTTTTAGGGTTGGAAAACAGAGATGACCAGTGGCTTCAATGACTATCTACAAAGCTTACTTTGTGAAAAAGAATCTATCCTGACGGCATCTCATTCTGGACATTTTGAAGTCATATAGATTGCCAAGAAGATGGGCCAAAAGTCGTCCCGAGAAGTGACTGGGAAGGACAAGCCTGATCTCTTTGCTGTGTGTGACATTTTCAGTCGAGCTGTGGTCTATGCTGCTCAGAAACTGAAGGACTATCTTGGATTTGAAGATCCTCAAAGTAAACTGTCCCCGGATTCCAACACACTGAATGAGATCTTTTTAATTCATTTTATTAGTTTCTGTCACGAAAATGGAATGGACAAGAAGATTACTACTAACAAAATGACCAAGAATCAGGCCATGTTGTTTGGAGCTGACTGGATCTGGACCTTCTGGGGATCTCATAAGGAAATCCTATTTCAGCTGGCTGTACAGACTTTACAGATGTCCACAGCTCTCCATAATGAATCTAATCCCTGTGACCTGCTGGGCAAGGAAGCGGTATTAGATGTGTGTTCGACGGGGGAAAATCGGTTTGAGAAGATGGAAGAATTCTGTAATTTGATAGGTGAGGATTGTCTGGGTTTACTTATCATTTTTGGTGTGCCAGGAAAGCCTAAAGACATCAGAGGAGTTCTCTTGGACAGTATCAAAAATGAGGAAATTCAAAACAGCTTGTCAGGATTGAAGGCTGTAAAACATTTTATCTTAAACACAAAGAACTGTCTGTCTACCAAAGAACTGTTAGAAAACTACCTGTGTAAAAGTGATCGACTGAATGAATTGGGCAAGGTTTATATTAATTTTCTCTGAATTTTAGATAGCTAAGTAAGCCAAGCAAACAGAAACCCATATGTCAAAGCAAAGAATTTTATTCTTTCAAGCGTAACAGCATTATTTGACGTGACATCATTATTGCGTGCATTTAGTGTGTTAAATGGGTTTAGAACAGCATTGTATAAACTGAGAGATTCACTTCTTTTGGTGGCAAAAATTATGGGTTAGCTGCCATGCTCCAAATGATTGTACTGTTGTGATCATGAAGAAGGAAAAAAGCCATGAAGAAACCTTCCTGAAAAAAAAAAAGAAAACACATGATTCCATGCCATGTAACTTTTGTTCATTTGCTTAGGAAGCCAATAAAACAACCTTGAAAGTTTGTTTTGCAATGAAGGTGTGTCTGTTATTTGAAATAAGGTGAGAATTAATTGTATCTACCCAAACTGTCAAGTGTGTGTATTTTTATCAGTAGGGGAATGGGAAGGTAGATCAGGTTTAAGCTTAAGAAAAATATACAAACCAGTTTAAAACTTGGGTTCCCACACAAAATTGGGCAAAGACTTACTTTTTTCCCCTGTACACCATGATCTACCCATTGTCTACAAAATGGACTCGGGGAAGAATTGTCTGAAGCCTGTGTCTATTATGCAAACTTAATCATTTCATTTAATAATGATTACCATAGTATTCATAAAATCACAGATCTAGAGCTAAAAGAGACCTTCGAGGTCATCTAGACCATCCAGGGATGTTGTTTTCCTTCCCAAGATCACAGAGGTAGTTAGTAGGAGATGGACCTTGAACTCAGATCCTATGACCTCAAGTTCTGGGCTCTTTCCAGTGAACTACGGTGTGTAAAATATGTGAATTTTTAAAATCTCCTTAATAGAGATGGCAGGATCTCTGCTTTAAAGATGAATAAGCCAGGACAACGTTAAACTTGATTGAGAATTAAATGGGAACTCCAAGACCCAAAGTTTTTAGAGAACTTTTGAGTATTGTTTCACTTCTGAATGCTAGATCATAGCTCTCTGATTTACTCTATGGTGATTTAAACAAATAGCCTAACAAGACCTTAGATCTTTTTGCCTCACTTAAAAAAAGATCTTGATTTATATTTATTCTGAATATTACTGTTTACTATTTTATTATCTTTATATATTATATAATGTGCATTATATAATGTTATTCTTCATACTCTCTAAATGGGGGAAATGTTTTTTATAAGTATATTCAATGAAACACAATAATAACTTGAATTTATCCTTTCTTGAATAATGTCCCCATGTACAAGGCCACAATTTAGGTGGACAAGTAACTTTAAGTAACTATTAGAAGTGGTAAATAGCTTGATTTTCTTGCAAAGCTTTATTTATTTATTTATTTATTTTGCCAGTGGCTTAACTCTAGTGACAAATTATATCCCCAAGTCCTATAACTGAGCTATCTTGAATCTTGAATGTAAAAGACATTGTCACTTTGAAGTGAATCAACTAAGCATTTAATCACTGAAGGGCCTGCTGCATGACAGGTGCTGTGCTGGATATTAGAGACACAAATATAAAAATGAAACATTCCTGGCATATAATGAGTTTACATTTTACTGTGGGGAAAGAACATGGTATAGTGGAATATATAATGGATTTGGAGTCGAGTACCTGGATTCAAATCGCAGCTCTGCTACTGTATGTGTGTACTTACGCAAAACATTTATCTTCTCCAGGTCTCAGTTTCCCCATCTGTAAAACAGAATTGGAATAGATGATTGCTCAAGTCCCCTCCAGCACCAAATCTATGATCTTGTATTTGTAGATAGTAAATACAGAAGAGAATCCACACAAAATTAATACAAACAGAGGCAGAAGGAGCTCCTCTAACAACCTGCAATCAGGAAAGCTGCCTTGAAGGTAGTATCACTTGAGTTGAGCCTTGAAGGGAGCTAAGGGTTCCAAGAGGTGTGAGTACAGATTCTGCAAAGGCATACAGAGAGAAGACAGAATATTGTGTTTGGGTAACAGCAAGGAGAACTATTTGACTGGAACACAGAGTGGGTAAGGGGGTGGGGATGGGGAGGACTAATGGGTAATCAGTCAGCATGTGAAGAGTTCTAAATGCCAAACAGAAAAGGTCATCTTTTACCCTAGAGGCAACGGGGAACCACTGGAATAGCATGACCAAACCTGTGCTTCTAGAAAGTGAAAGCAGAGTTTCTACTGACGAGTGAGAGGTTCATTTACTATTGGCAATATAGTAATCTTTCATGTTTGGAAGCATCTGGGGCCATGACTGGGGATTGGAGGGGGAATGTCTTGAAGGGGCAGGAAATAAGTGAATTGATCTGGGCTAGAATAATAAATAAACGAGACTATTTCTTTTTTCTGTGATCTTAGCAATAAAGAAATTTTAAGTACTGAGTAAAGTATTCTTTATGGAATGTCCTCATCTCTGGAAAGCCAAAGGTCAAGAAGCCGTTCATCACAGCTCTCTTCTCAATACTGGGTTTCCCTTCAACTCAGGAGACCTTTCCAAAGCTAGTTAGTATCTTGACCCAGCTGTGGAATTACTACAGAGGAAACTATGTAAAGGTAATACGCCAAGCATTTCTGAGAAGTGAGTGACTATTGTATGTTAGCATTATAGAAAAAGAAAAGGGAGGGAAAGTGTTCATTGAGATGATACGAAGGATTTCAGTTCTTGCTAACTCTTAAAAGCCCCAATAAACAGGCCAAAGTTCATAAAAAGTTGGCTTGACACAGAAATGCTATCTCATGACTGAGTTTAGAAGTCACAATGCCTGCCTTTCTTTTTTGTGTGTAGTGCTTTTTCTATAGTGGAAAGGGTTTACAAAGCACTTTTGTAAGTATCAATTTCATTCACTATTATTAACCGACTATAACCTACACATTTGAAAAAGAAACCTCATAGAGGTTGTAACTTGCCCAAGGTCACACATCTAGGAAGTGGCTTCAATTTCTGACTTTCATGCCTACTAATTATACCCTATTACTTATTGTGCTATGATTGGTCTACCAAATCAAAATGACCACATTTTAGAGTTGAAATAGGCCTTAAGGACCAGTGCAATCCACAGGTTCACAGAATTAACACAAAATGTCTTACAGTGTTGGTACAGGGCAAGGAGTGTCCAGGGTCTGAATCCCAACTCTGACCAAATACTGGCTGTATTCTCTGGGGCAAATGACAATCTCTGTAAGCCTCAGTTTCCTCATCTATAGAATGAGTATCTATAGTACTTGCCTCATGGAGCCATTATGAGAATCAAATGAGATAATATGTGTATATTGATTTGTAAAATTTAAAACCTTATGTAAAAGTTAGTTTTGGTTATTTTTACTCAGTTATTGAGACCAAAATTATATGAGGAACCATTGATTAGGTACTGCTGTTAATCACCCACTCAGTGACACAGAGATAGTTTTAGTTTTATTTCTCTCAGAGCTCAGGCTCAACTAATCATACAAAAGTCAGTGAGCTCACAGCATCAGTTTCATTAATATTATATAAAATGTGAATACATAAGCAGGATGGATACAACAGAATTTTACAAAAAGGAAGGGAAAATAAAGGTATACACGTCTGGACACAAATTAGCAGAAGGGAAAGATAAGGTTGTCTGCATCTGGAAGGTCAGAGAACCAGTGGTCAAAATTGAAACTGATTTGTTCAGTTTTTTTTTTCAGACTATAGCAGCATGGAGTGACCAAGCTTCCAGCAACAATGTCTGGAAGTTCAAAATAGAGACAGGGGCAGTGTTTTTCTGAGCACAGTGGTGGCAACAAACCTAAGCCAGAATTTCTCATCAGGTAGGTAGCCAGTTAGTGGTAGAATCAGGTCTGGAACTAGGATCTACTGACTCCCCTAGCCAGTGTTCTTTCTATTATATTACACTGCTTTACTAGTCTGATGTTCTTTCCATTATATTTCACTGCTTTTAAAAGTATAGAATACTAAAACTGTAAAGGAACTTCAGTATTTAATTCAATTCCTTCATCTCCAGATAAATTCAGAAAGATTAGTCATGTCTCCTCTGAATTCCTGTATACACTGTTGTCACTACAAGTGTATTTATTCACAAATATAGCCATTATTTTTGTCCTCTGGTAACAAAATTAGATTTATCACTGTGTTTTATATAATAGGAGACGTAGTGTTGCAGTGAATAGAGTTTGGCTCGAGCTTGGAGTACTTGCGTTCAAGTCTCTTACTATATGACCTTGGGCAAGTCACCTTACCTCTCAAGAACCTCTAACAACCCTCTAAAACCTCTAAGTGGAAGAAGAGGTGCTCATCTGCTTTAGCAGAGGAATTTCCTCACCAGGAACTCCTATATCAATGAAATCACAGTAAAAAAAAAAAAAAAAAAAAAAAGCATAAGCAGTAATGATGTAGAGAAAAATAATAGTTCTTTATATGGAGCTTAAAGGTTTTCTAAAGACATTATCTTACTTGATCTTGACAATACAGCAAAGGAGATATCTTAATTTTGCACATGAGGAAACAATGGTTCAGAGGCAAAGCAACTAGCCCAGGGATCATACAGCAAATGTCAAAGGCAAGATTTAAACTGGAGACTCCCACACCTTTCCAGCAGCAGTCCCCACACTGCTCTCAAGAAACAAGCAAATATTTGTTGAAATGAAGTAATAGGTTTCCTCCCTCTTCCACCCCCATCCATCCCAACTGCCAATCTAGAACACACCTCTCTGTACAGCTGATAATTAAGGCTTAGGGAAAAGAAATAATGAGTCAGTAAGAACTGGAAGATAGCTAGGAGGGGTGCTTTGCTCTGAATCAGTTTGTAGATGCCCAGAAAAATGGACCTCAAAGAAAGAAATTAACTTTCTCCAAAAGAGTTGAGATTCAGAGTACTGTCCTCCCCAAACCACATTACTTTGATATAAGATATTACCCTTTAACAGTAGATTGCTTGAATCAACCGGGAAACTCATTAGTTTAAAGCAGAAAACATTTCATTAACTTGCACAGCAAAATGGAGGAAGAAAAACTCTAGCATCTCAAGAGAATAATGGTAAAAGTTAGGAATGAAAGATGAATAGTACTTTTCAACTTCAAAGTATCTCTTTAGCACTGGTTACAAAATCAAAAAGTAGTGGAATAGCCTGACTCAGAAAGAAAGGGTTATTTCTTGGTCCTCTGCTCCCATCTGCTGGCCTCTCATCTAATTGCAGTTACTTTTCCTCTTCTGGCTTTTAGGTTTTTTTTGTATATTATATCCACAACCAACAGAAGCGTTTAGGCTTTGGTTAATTCTATATTTGACCCCTTTTTATTCTTAATGAGCTGCATTCTGTGAGATCTTTATAATCTTGGGATGAATATATTCCTTTCAATATCCAC